TTTATTGCGACATGAATAGTTTTTGATTTACAAAGACAACAACATTTTGGTAACGTAAATTGACCCTTGTTTCGACTCAAAACCCAGATTATGGTTGCTGTAGAACAACTGAAAGCAGAAACTGTAGCTATTCACGAATGCATAGGTACTAGTACAACTATTTTTTTACTTTTCATAGGTCAAAGGTGCTTCAAAGCAAGGCAGTAAACATGTGAAACTCATGCCAGTATGTGAAGAGTTGTCTCCCCTACATGTAAGAATTATTTAGAAGCATTTCGAAATGTGACCTACAACAAAAGGGATCTTATGGGTGAAAAGTCACATTTTAACTTTTCATTATATTTTTTAACTAAAGTATCTTCGGAACACAAAAATACAATTCACAAGCTTAAATTCATATGTATTGCAGAGATACATGACATCAAACGTTTGGACTCATTTTCCGACTTATTAAGCGATCGTGAATATTTTATGGGATATTATTTTGTAGTGAAGACAGAACACAATTTAATTAAAATATACAAAATTATTCATGATACCTCACAACATAATATTATTCACGTAAGGTTTTGAGTGGTTTAGAATCCTGATTATTTAAGTATTACTGTAAACACAATATTTTGTTTTATTTGCTTACGTAATGCTCTTGTATTTCATTGAGAGCTACGAATCTTTGTATGATTAACATTTATCATATGAAGATTGACGAAATTGATTGGAAAATTAAATTTTATTTTTTTCCGAAGTTATTTAGTGATTTAGAAACAATATCGTTTGACAGAAACGTCAGTCATTTGAAGATATTTTTCTTCGTCACGACCGTCAATCAAAAGGGTGCATTCCATGAACAAATGAAATGAACGTATGGGTGAGTGAGTGAGTTGTGTTTAACGCCGCTTTTAACAGTATTCCAGTTATATCACGGCGTGTCAGCTTAATGTGGGAGGAAAGCCTGAAGTGATGCAGGTCTCAGACGTTTACCACTTCGGTGAAACCCACGAGCACGGTATGGTGCTGACAAACCTAGAAACATAATCGGGGTGAACCGGGAATCGAACCCACAATCATAGGTTTCTGGCGTACCCAAGGGACGCAACTCTGCACAGCTAATCGCGGCGCCTTAAACGACTGCCCCCAGAAACCTATGATTGTAGGTACGAGTCCCGGTTCGCCCCGATTATGTTTCTAGGTTTGTCAGCACCATACCCGTGCTCGTGGGTTTCACCGAAGTGGTAAACGTCTGAAACCTGCATCACCTCGGGCTTTCCTCCTACATTAAGCTGACATGCCGCGATATAACTGTAATACTGTTAAAAGCGGCGTTAAACCCAACTCACTCACTCACTCTGACATATTCAACTGAGGAGCAATAGGAAATATATTTCACAGTTGATTTGATCATGGTTGATATTCAAATTGAAAATATCTAAAGCGACATTATATCCACAAAATGGACTTTACTAGCGCTTATCAGCATTCAAAGAATACTTCAACACGGTTTTATTTGTTTATTTAAAAAAAAAATAATTTGATATAAAACTTTAAAAAAATAAATAATCGCATAATACACAATTGCTGGTGGGTATCTTAGACATCTTATCTTTGAAAGCCAATGAATATTTTCGGAACAAATTTACATTTCAAACAGTGGGGGTCGTTGGTTGATGTATGTCACCGTATCCCAATTGCGTGGATCGATGCCCATGACGTCAAACACTGGATTGTCTGGTCCAGACTCGATTATTTACAGACCGCCGTCTTATAGCTGGAATATTGCTGAGTGCGGCGTTAAAAAACAAACAAACAAACAAACATGATCACATTCCAGTTCCATATTACATTTTTTCTGCCGCTTTTCCACCATCTTCCCCAGGCAAGGGAGTTAACTGACTGTAAAAGCCCAGCTTCCTTTTACAGTCAGTCAACTCCCTTGCCTCGGGAAGATGCTTTCCGCCTGACATGGCGTTCATGGCTCTCGGCTGGAAGCTGGGATGTTTACATCACGACTAAAACACGAATGCTATTATTTACAACCCTCTGGTGCACGTGCGTTGCAGACACACGTGACGTTGCTAATGAATAATTTGCATACTCCCATATGCCAAGGGTCGGCGCATGGTTCTCGGTAAGACGTAACGACATCAAGTCGATGGCTTGCGGTGTATACATTTCTACTTTATACAGGTAGATATATACATGCAAAAAACACTGTGTTCCAGATCTGCACAAAGTGGTAGTGGTTGTTGTCTTGGTGCCCTGGAGCTCCCCGCCTAACCCTAGCTAGGCTGAGGGTAAGACCCCCCCCCCCCCCCCCCCCTCTCTCTCTCTCTCTCTCTCTCTCTCTCTCTCTCTCTCTCTCTCTCTCTCTCAGGATGGCAGACAGTGGATGTACAATGCAATGGGGATGAACAATTGGGATTAGCATCTCATAAATAACGGCAATTAAGTGTTTCAAGGCATATAGATGTCATGTCTCCTTTGGAATTAAATGTTCATTCAGACAATGGATGCCCCAAATTGGTCGCTATGACACTATTATTGAAGACCAGGTTTCGCGCTTGTCCACCCAACAGGGAGCATGTGGCAGAGTTGCCAGACACTCTACCCTGTTATGCTCTAAGTAGTGTAGATTTCCATACCCGAGGTGACAGCTTTGATCGGTTGTTATTACGATATTTGCATTTTGTTTTCATTCATTTTCTGTAGCATGGACAGAATCATTCTTGTTCTTCCAATTTTCGTTGGGAAGTTCTTCAATGCAAGACAGACAACACTAAGTTGTTGTTTTCACAGTCATTGGTTTGTAGGCGTGTATATGTTGCAGTCAATGTGATTCAACTAGGCAATCTATAAAATATCTAAATATTTTATGTCATTTTTCACTTAATTTGAAATAACTGAAAATGTGAAAATGTTAGTCCAATCTCATTCAAATCAGATCTTAGTTGTCGCAACCGCTGAACAAAGATCTGACAACATCCCAGTAGGGGTCACGTCAGAACGACCTTTCATCCGACCAATCAGAGCGTCGCTTACCAGATCATGAAAGTGACAGTCGGAATGTGATTTCTAATCATGCAACCTCGAAACATTTAACACGGGGTATGTCGAACGATAGTTACGGGATTAACGACTGAATCCACACAATCTAGACATAAATTGGCCATTCAAGAATGTTCTTTGTTCAGGTTTCAAATTTTTAATCGAGAATTAATCAAAATGTGTTTCGAAGCGTAGTCGCCAATTTGAAATTAAGGCCGTAAAGCACGAGAAAGCTGCCTTCTGATTGGCTAATGTCGACTTTTTGTCAGTCATTCCATTGGTCGGTCAAAGTTCGCGCAAGGGCGGTCTAACGTGACCCGTAATGGGGTGTCCTCAGATCTTTGTTTAGCGGTAGCGAGAACTAAGATCTGATTTTAATTAGATTAAATGTTAGTCATTTTACACATTAACTATAACATATACACACAATAAAAAAAGCAATGCTCGGGTGAAATATTTAGTTTGTCTTACAAGTCGAAATAGTGTAGACGAAAATCATACCGATGCTACCCCAAAGATACCTTGATTTCCTTATGAATTCCATGGGGGCGTTCGCTCGTCACCCCGAAGACCCGGGTTCGATTCCCGACATGGGTACAAAGTGTGAAGCCCATTTCTCGTGTCCCCCGCCGTGATATTGCAGGAATATTGCAAAAAGCGGCGTAAAACCAAACTCACTCACTATTATACTGTATTTCATTTTGTTGATCAACTTGACAATACGCCCCTTTACTATCAATAATAACGACAAATACTTACTGTGGGCGCAGCACAAGTCGCGAACTAGTCGATCTCACATTAAAAAAACAATAACGGCATCAACCAGTCCCGGGGAATTGCTGTAGATCAGTGGCCCTTTAAATTGCGTTTTAGAAGCTGTAGTATTCATGAAGGCAGAACTGACTAATAGACTAGAACTTAATTCCTTGCAGTGCGCGGCGCGGATGGCCCAGCCCTTAAGGCGCAGCAGTTCGCCGTGAAGAGTTGCGTCCCTTGGACACGCCAGAAACCAATGCTTGTTTGTTGGAAACCCGGTTGCCCTGATTATGTTTACTGACTCATAGACTAGAACTTAATTCCTTGCAGTGCGCGGCGCGGATGGCCCAGCCCTTAAGGCGCAGCAGTTCGCCGTGAAGAGTTGCGTCCCTTGGACACGCCAGAAACCAATGCTTGTTTGATGGAAACCCGGTTGCCCTGATTATGTTTCTAAGTTTGTCAGCACCTACCGGTGCTTGTTGTTTTCTCCGATTGGTTTGTTTGTTTGTTGTTTAACGCCGCACTTCCCCCAATTGGTAGACTCTAAGACATGCTCCACTTTAGTTCACTCCCACACCAAGCTCACACGCCGTGTTATAACTAAAAATGACCACATCACTCACTCATTCACAATCTCATTAAAATCAGATCTTAGATTTCGCTAACAAAGATCTAAGGACATCCCATTGCGGGTCATGTCAGAACGACCTTTCATCTGACCAATCAGAGCATCGCTTAGCAGATCATGAAAGTGACATTTAGAATGTGCTTTTTTTATCGTGCAACCTAAAAAACACACATGGTATTCCGAACGACAGTTATGGGCGTTATGGCTGTATTCATACAATCTAGACCATCTATTACATCTATTAGCTATTCCAGAATGTTCAGTTTTTAATTTTCTAATCGAGTATATTTCAAAATATGTTTGGAAGCGTAGTCGCCAGTTTGAAACTCGTGCTGTAAAGCTCGATTAGGCTGCCTTCTGATTGGCTATTGCCGACTTCTTGTTAGTTATTCCATTGGTCGGTCAAAGTTCGAAAGTTCGGTCTGTCGTGACCCGTAATCTGATCTTTGTTTAGCGATAGCGAGAACTAAGATCTGATTTTAATGAGATTGACTCGTTCTCATCTTCAATGCGACGTCTCGTTGGTAGGTGCTTGTACCGTTATGAAGCAAGTACCAAAAAACAAACAAGAAAAAAGAACTCTGGATTTATTGCACTGATCCACTGATGTTCAAATAAATACATAACAACAAAACACTTTTGAAAAAGATGTCACACAGAGGTGTGATAAACAACTTTATAAACTGGTTTCACACGCGCAGAACCAGGTTTGTGGACTGCGGCTGCGCTTGGAGAAGGTGGCCGTGGTTCCGGTGGAGTACTTCCGGTGGCGGGGGGACTGCAAGGTTTCTTTTTCACGGCCTTGGGATTAATGTTCTGAATCTGAAGACGCTGGACCATCAACGGCGGGAGTGGGAACCTGATGAAAGCAAATATTGAGAGAGACTGCTGTTTCATTCCACCCAGGGGTTGATAGCATGACAGCCTCAAACACCATACTTCATTAGTCCCCAGAGCGTGTCGCTAGTCATGCTTGAACAGGACAAATATGTTTACTATGTTTAGATTCATTATTATTCAGTTCCAGTTCCAGTTCCCTGCTTCAGAATAATAACCCTCAAATGAAACTAGTCAATGACGACAACCACCTTTGGATTTGTCCTCGGCACAAGTAAATAGTCTCGAACTAACGTGAATTTCGAAGGCGAACATGGTTAACACGCGCGCCTTTTGCAATCCGTTCATTATCGACCAAATTGTATTTGCAGACTGTTCAATCAAGCTAGCTGGAGTGAATTCAACCAGATTCTCCATATTGCAAATAGTAGTTCGCACATACCCTATTAGTATCATTTCCCCTTCCACCCATTCCTTATTGTAACGCTATAGCTCTAAACGAAGCAAGTCTAGATTTTCCACAGGTTCAGCTATCACACTGGGGCTCCCTTTCAATTTAAATGGAGTTGTTAGTTTCTATCAAAAAATATATTTTCAAGACTAAGCTTTAGTCTATATTGCACAGGACAATGACGTTTTTGCAAGCGGCGGGGAGATCGAGGTATGAAATAGGCATATAATAACAGAGTATATAATAAACTGAATAATTGAATAATTGGACTTTGACTGGAAATATCAACTGACCATGGACCCTTAATCAATTTATTGTCGTCTCCACATGTTAAGCCAGTTTTGACATATTCACTTCAAAATACTTCCTCGTCAGAAGCTCAAGTTTAAATGTCCTACACACTCATTTAACCGTGAAGATCCGCGTTAGAATTGGTCTTCAGCAACCCATGATTGTCGTGACGGATCGACTAATGGATCTGTTTATCACTACAAACTGCCATCACATGACTTGCATAATGTTGAGTGCGGCGTTAAAAAAGAAACAAACAACTAAAGAGGCGACTAACGGATCCGGTGGTCAGGTCGCTGACTTTGTTGATGCATATCATCGATTCCCAATTGCCTAAATCGATGCTCAAGATATCACCTACTGGATTTTCTGATCCAGACTCGATTATTGACAGACCGCCGTCATATAGCTGGAATATTGCTGAGTCGGCGTTAAACAACAAACAAAACCAAAAACAAACATACTCATTAACGTATGCTGGCATGTTCGGACCATACATTTTGAGGAACCTTTCTCTGCAGCTTTTGGATCTATTGACGGAAGAACGCCTTTCCTGTGGTTGTTGGGTGTCGGCATCATAAGTAACAGGAGTTGCGTCCCCCTGGAAAGAGTAAAGACATGGTGTGGTTCGAGGACCCCTTCCTTGGAGAAGATTGGTTGGTTTGTTGTTTAACGCCGCACTCAGCAATATTCCAGCTATATGACGGCGGTCTGTAAATAATCGAGGCTGGACCAGACAATCCAGTGATTGATATCATGAGCATCGATCCACGCAATTGGGATAGATGACATGCATCAACCAAGTCAGCGAGCCAGACCACCCGATCCCGTTAGTCGCCTTTTACGACAAGCATAGTCACCTTTTACGGCAAGCATGGGTTGCTGAAGACCTATTCTACACTGGAATCTTCACGGGTCTATGAGTGAAGTTGATATGAGTGAATTTGCCAAATGAGCCAAACGCTCAAGGGATGCAACTCTGCACAGCAAGTAGCAGCGCCCACTGCAACCCGTACAGTTTTGTATATTTATGTGGACAACTGTAAAACCCGAAATATCATTTTCTCATTTTGCTGAAGACCTATTCTACCCCGGAATTTTCACGGGTCCCTTGGAGAAGGAGAAGGGAAGGTAAACATTGTTAGTTTAAAAATACATTTTCACTCATCTAATATCTCCTAAAATGTTAATAACGTGGTTATCATAAAACCATAAGCGGGGTAGAATAGGTCTTCAGCAACCCATGCTTGACGTAAGAGGCGACTATGCTTGTCGTAAGAGGCGACTATGCTTGTCGTAAGAGGCGACTAACGGGATCGGGTGGTCAGGCTGGCTGACTTGGTTGATGCATGTCATCGTATCCCAATTGCGTAGATCGATGCTCATGATGTCAGTAATTGGATTTGCACGTGTATGTGTGTGTGTGGCTGCTTGTACTAGTCAGGACTGATGCCGATTTATAGTGCTAGCTCACTGAGATACCATGCCGCAGTTTAACAAGAATACCCCACTCAGACACAGTATACTGACTCCGAGCCGACCAGTCCTTGTTTTAGCCCCTTAATGCCGAGCGCCAGACAGGGTAACAACAAGTACCATCTTTTAAGGTCTTTTGTTATGGCGCGGCTGGGGATCGAACCCCGGACCTTCCGCTCTCCAGGCGGACGCTCTACCATTAGACCACGGAGGCGGCCCAGCTGTCAACTAAGTTTCACTATAATGTAGACTAGAAAAGTAATCCCACGAATAAATCACTCAGGAGAGCATATTGTAAATTCAGAATATCGCTACACGGTTTTAAGATTAACATGCTACGAAAGTCAAAACATACAAATGAAGACTTGAGTCTATATCTATGTACCCACTGTAAAGGGAGGCAATTAGAGGATGAATTTCATGTTTTGTTTATATGTTCAAAATATTCTTCTGTCAGAAACCACTATTTGCCTTGGTTATCCAATGTCCATCATGATAATCACAGATTATGTAATCTACTCAACTCCAAAAATATCAACATTGTAAAGGCTTTGGCCTTATACTTAAATCATGTATTTAATGTGAAATAAGACTACTTGTATTTATTTTCCTGACATCACGTGACGCAGCAATTATTGTAATTGTAATTGTACTCCAGGCCACATGGCCCAAAATACTGAATAAAGAATCTTGAATCTTGAATCTTGACTGGAACATAAAGCCGATTTTAACATTTACTTCCCACGACATAATAATTGTATTCAGAATATATTAATTTAATAGTGGGCGTGTTTTCACTCACGGCTTCTACTTCGGGGGTTTCTGTCTCGCTGCTCTGTGACAATTTGTCCATGAGGGCACTCTTCGTGGCGTCGCCGTGGAGCTTCACCACTCCCCCACCGTTCTTCGCGCCCCTCGCGTAAGTCTTGTACCGCTTCCTGGGCCCGCTAGAGGGCACTGCAGTACACTGGCGACTTCCGGTGTTACCAACGTGTTGACCATTCTGTTTACAGCTGTTTTGAAGGATCTATGGAACAGGATATGGCCCGTGTACATTGTTTTTAAACAATCAAATATATTCTGATCCTTTTTGTACAATAACGATAAAGTTGACCTTCAGTTCGACCGAATGTCATGGCTTCAGAATTGCTCACTTTAAAGGGGCACTTATCGCTGGCTTCTTCTCGGCTGTCTAACACTGCCCGCTTGGGCTCATTAGCTGCCGTGAGTCGATGTGCTCGCTAACGCAACATAGGAATTGCTGATGATCAGTGCCCCTTTTTAACCATTTTTAAATTGAATCTCCAATTTCCCCCGATTATGACCCTCGGTCTATCGGTTCATTAACATATTCAAACTCGTAACGTTTCCTCAAACATTCAGACGACAAGCTGGGATAGCTGAAATATGCAGCACCAAACGCAACTTGCATAATCAATCAGTCACTGTCTGGGTTTCTGTTCTAAAGTGGCCCAGTCGTCTAAGGCGCTGCGATTCGCTGTGCAGAGTTGCGTCCCTTGGGCACGCCAGAAACCTATGATTGTGGGTTCGAATCCCGGTTCGCCCGATTATGTTTCTAGGTTTGTCAGCACCATACCCGTGCTCGTGGGTTTCACCGAAGTAGTAAACGTCTGAGACCTGCATCACTTCGGGCTTTCCTCCCACATTAAGCTGACACGCCGTGATATAACTGGAATACTGTTAAAAGCGGCGTAAAACCCAACTCACTCACTCACTAAGGCGCCGCAAATCACTATGCAGGGTTTCGTAAACCTACGGCAGTGGGTTAGGATCCTGGTCCTCCCGATTATGTTCCCTGGTTTGTCAGTTCCATACGCGTGCTCTTGGGTTTTACTAAAGGCGACTATGCTTGTCGTAAGAGGCGACTAACGGGATCGGCTCACTGATTGGTTGATGCATGTCATCGTATCCCAATTGCGTTGATCGATGCTCGTGATATCAGTCACTGGCTTGTCTGGTCCAGACTCAATTATTGACAGACCGCCGTCATATGGCTTGAATATTGCTGAGTGCGGCGTTAGACAAAAAACAAACAAACAACAACATAAGAGCAAACAACTGTCCTCATTAGTCATACATTAACCATGTATGCTGACCATTCAGTATATGTTACACGTCCGACATCATTCGTCACCACTCGCCCCTTTCCGTAACCTGCAAGAAGACTCGTCCCCCTATCGATGAATGTTATGTGCGAAAATACGACAAACCAATCAGAATGCGCGTATGATTTCGAGTTCTTTGTCAAATAATCCCTCAGAAATAATTTTTGATTTTACATATGTCTTGCATCTAAAAATATACCCAAGACACAGTTAAATGTGTTCAATCATACTGTATAATTCCGCACGTCCACATGTCCTTTAAATTGCATCTGAAATATTTAATATATGGGAAAATTTATGTGAACCATTACGCAACGAGTTGACAATTGTTTTAGGTATGCCCGTTTGCGCTAAGACGGAGCCTAGTCGCAAAAATGGCCACGAGAGGGGCACGAGTCGCTATTCGGCTTGTCCCGGAATAACACGAGTTGGTCACGAATGGTCCGACATAATGGTTACACGTTTAATGTCTAACCTCTAGAGTGATAATTATGTATCTGACACGGCATGACACGAACACAAATAGCTCACCTTGTACACATACCACAGTGGCACACTCATCTGGGCGTGTTGTTGTCCAGCCTTCTGACGTGTTGCTCTCTCTTTGGTCAATTCTAGCAACTGCGTCAGCCGAGCCGTGGACTGTGATTGGTCCTTAAGCTTCCTTGGCGGTGCCGTCTTACCGCGTCTCCTAGGCAACTGTTTGTCTTCCTGTCTTCTCTCCTTCTCGGTCTTCGGCCATGTTTGTGGGCGTGGTTCAACTCCTTGGTACTCTTAAACACAGCACTCCAATACAACTTACTGATATGTGAAGATCGACCCGTGAAGATCCGATTATTTACAGACCGCCGCCTAATAGCTGGAATATTGCTGAGTGCGGCGTTGAACAAAAAACAAACAAACATGCGAAGATCATTGTGGGGTTTTGGTTTCTAACAATGAGTGAGTGAGTGAGTTGGGTTTAACGCCGCTTTTTAACATTATTCCAGTTATATCGCGGCGTGTCAGCTTAATGTGGGAGGAAAGCCCGAAGTGATGCAGATCTCGGACGTTTACCAGTTTCTAACAGTGACCCGTTTCAGTCTCGCCCTTTTGCTTTTCGGGCTTTTGGTGTTGTCTTCGTAAAAGGTGGACTAGGATTGGGACCTGTGGCAGTCCGTTAAAAAACAAGATTGTTGTTTAAAAACAACTAGCATGGCACTAATTAAAACTATATAAATCTATAGGGGTTGTCTCCCACCAAAAAACTACATGCCATAATAACTACACGACATTGTTTTCATTCAGTGTTTTTGTGTTGGTATGTTGTGACATTTGACCCGTGAAGATTCGGGGTAGAATAGGTCTTCAGCAACCCATGCTTGTAGTTAAAGGTGACTATGCGTGTCGTAAAAGGCGACTAACGGGATCGGGTGGTCAGGCTCGCTGACTTGGTTGATGCATGTCATCTATCCCAATTGCGTGGATCGATGCTCATGGTGGTAATCACTGGATTGTCTGGTCCAGACTCGATTATTTACAGACCGCCGTCATATAGCTGTAATATTGCTAGGTGCGGCGTTAAACAACAAACCAACCAACCAACTCTAGACCACTCCAGGGCGGATCCAGCATTTCAAAAGTGACTACATTTGGTTTTAAAAAGGGGGAGGGGTGTGTCCGGATAACAAGATAACAGGCAGTTATAAAGGTTATATGTGCCCACGTTCAGATGACCAACTCTCCGTCTTGACCATTGCAAGTCTACCTTATTTTATGACACACGTGGACGGTTCTGGGCCCACTTGCACAAAGTGATCTTAGCGCTAAGATGGCCGTAACTACCATACTAGGCTTAAGATAATCTTAACTCTAAGATGGTTTTGTGCAAGTGGGCCCTGGTATGTGACTCACTCGTTTCATAAAATTGGTTTTACATGGGAGCTCGTTTAGTATTCCATATGTATCATCCAAAAACTGGCTTCCAAAGGAGATATCCCATCTTCCCCAAGCTCCTCACAGCGATAGTCCGTTCGCGGAGCTCTCTATACTATCGCTGACACCAGTCAAAACTCCCCACTGTGATAGGTGACCCAAACCATGCTTGGAGTTGAACTCGCAATCGAATGACCGTTATGTTTACAAACAAGTGACGACTGTCGTGGCGCCGAATACACTTACCCCTGCTAAATTACTTGTCTTTGTTTGTCAATTTGAATTTTTATTTCATTAAAACTATCGTGTAATTGATATGGTAAGAATGTAAGGGAGAAGTTGGTTGATTTTTCGTTTGTCTGCAATCTCGAACCAATCTGATTATACAAACAACAAAGTAAATTCATCTGGAAAACATGGTTAAACGTAAACCTTTTCAAAATGAAATATGATGGCATTCCCAAAGACATACACAAAAGTATAAACGTTACTACATTTGGGATTAGAGGGCAAATTTCAAGATTCTTGTAATGGCCGCGCCCACACTAGTGGCAGCGATGTTACCGAGAGCGTAACGAAGGTGTCACGCGCTGGAAAGGAGCGTGCATCTTCCCGAGGCAAGGGAGGTAATTGACTGTAAAAGTCCAGTTTCCAACCTTACCGAACTAGGCTGGTTTTATGGAGTTATCGTTTGGCTGGATTAACGAGTCTATGCATATTCAAATCAAAATCGCCTAACGAAATCGACATCCGGATGTAAACAACATGGATTTCAACGGGCGGATTTCGGTCGACTGCAGGATTTGCAAAGCATGTGTACCGTCAAATGGGCGTAGACAGATAATTTCCAAATCTTTAAGCGCTTTTAATCAAGGTGCCCACATGATTTGATGCACTTCTCGAGGTAAGACCCGTTTTGAACCAACCGTGTTTTGAAATGTGATGTAGTCCCACTGTAGAGTAGATACCTTTTTATTATTTAGTCATTTCTTGGAAATATGCGAGAGGTCATTTCTTGGAAATCGAACATGCCATTTCCATTGTAGGGGTGACATATTTTTAAATTTCTAAACAAATATATGTCTACAACAAACTTTATGAATTAACATTCAATTATGTATTTAACATGTGTAAGTCTGATTAGTTAGTTTGCAATGACTCCCAGTAAATAAAAACAAATCAAAATATATGCCTCTCCAACTTGGATGTGGCAGAACTTGACCAAATCACGGTTACTCACACCTCACAACTGTCAATGGCTGATAATATTGTGTTTACATTCTCCGTAACTAGTTAAACGAAGCAAGATGACAACCCCGATCTATGATGTGGTTCAACATTAACCTGTAGATATACTGGGAATGATTGAGCCTGCTGGTACATTATGATTACCAAATTAACTGAGAATGACTGAACAGCCGTTTTTCAGGCTGCAAACGAGCCAGATATTTTGACACAGGGTATCTGCGTGGTGTAACCTGTCAATTTAAAGATTTCGCGGTTTCAAAGCCAGAGTGTGAAAGCAATGAGACCTTTGTGGCCAAATAGTGGTTCCTGAATTATTTTCTTAATTGTGCGCGTTTTGAAATGAATTTTATCAAGTTTGATAAGCGGTGACTTCAGTGATGCCAGGACATTGTTTTCGTGGCCTTTCGGAGGGAGGAGTATTTTCTGATGGATTTTCAAATCCCTTCCTGCCAAATCCTGCCACAGAAATGGCAATGAATATCGAACACAAAAAGTTTTGTAAACTACATGTTGTTATAAATAAAGTTTCTTCAAACACATTTTTATAATGTTATATTTTACTTTCATTGTCGGTCTTTTCAATGACGATCGATATTGCCTATTCCGAGTCTGTTCACTTTGAACATGTCCCTGACAGTTTCATAAACATTTCACTTGTATGCAAAAGATATGCCTTTGTAGAGTCTTGTAATCTCATCTCCGAAACAGTCAGGATTACGCCCTAGAACAACATTCCGTCGCCAAAAATAACCGATATCAAACTACCGTATTTCCTCTATTAGACGCAAGGCCGTCTATTAATTTCGCGAGAGCCATTGACTTGGCATGTATTAGAGACCGAGGTGCCGTTGTACAAAACAACATTAGCGCTACGACTGTCGTAAGTCTATGTCAAGGTATGGGAGTTACGATCACCTTAGCGCTAAAGTCGCTTTGTACAACGGCGCCCAGGCTTGTATTAGAGACCAAGCGTGTAATAGAGGAAATATCGATACGTTTTATGTTCCTAGTGGTGATCGATGTATTTATGCGCACCTTTTGTGTGAAAAGGCTTACTGTATTTAAAAGGGCTTTCCATAGCAAAAACGAAACCCCTTTTTAAACAAAAAGAATCAAGCATTCTTCAATGTCATGGTAGAATACAATACAGATCTTAGAGCCTTACAAGTGATATGAAAGATGGAAGCTGATTGGTCAATAGGAAGGGCACAGAAGGGACATAACTCGTTATAGACACTGGTGATTCAACGATAGAGCCAAGAAATTCCAACCTAGTTCGGAAAGACTGCAATCTGGACTTTTATAGTCAGTTAACTCCTCTGCCCCGGGAAGATGGGGATATCCCTGGGTGAGATCAAGCTGCAGTGCAGTGAATTTGCATCCCAATACTTTGCAGATCATTGTGACGTCATCAGTTACCATGACGTCACAATCAAATGACATCGCTATTCCTTCAATATGGGGTATATTCTTTTCCCACGTGCTTCATCAGATGTCTATTTTCGTACTCTAGTCGACTTACTCTGGTTCTTGCCCCGGCTCTTCAGAGTGACTGTCTCCCCCATTCTCTGGTTGATTGTCACAGTACACTTTGGGGTGGCGTTCGGCCGACCTCTACCTGGGTTATCACCATGGTAACACAATGGCTGACCGCTCTTCTTGGAACCAGCGCCATCTACACGCAAGTGCTCCTTCTCCGGACCAAACTCCTCCTTGCTCGCCGTGTATGGATTCTGAAACAGTGAGTGAGTGAGTGAGTATGGTTTCACGCCGCTTTTAGCAATATTCCAGCAATATCACGGCGGGGGACACCAGAAAAGGGCTTCACACATTGTACCCATGTCGGGAATCGAACCCGGGTCTTCGGCGTGACGAGCGAACGCTTTAACCACTAGGCTACCCGACCGCCCCGATTCTGAAACAGAGGACATATATAACTTCAATAGCGACATATAACTGCGTGAAGACTTCAATGTCTTACATTTATATTTCAACTTTATCACAACGGCATGTGGTGGATGAAATTGAATTTAACGTCGCTTTCAAGGTTATTTCACATATACAGCGACATGCATGCACGTGTGTGCGTGGTTTGCTTGTGCGGTTTACTAGTCCGAAGAAATGCCGGTCTTATACTTCTAACCAATGAGATACCACGCAGCTTCGTAACATGGATACCACTCTCAGACACAGTATACTCCGAGCCGAGCAGTCCTTGTTTAATCTCTTAATGTTCAAATATGAATGAATCCATCTTCCAGAGGCAAGGGAATTAGCTGACTGTAAAAGTCCAGTTTCCACCCTTGCAGAACTGAGATGGAATTATGGAGTTATCGTTTGGCTGGATTAACGAGTCTATGCATAGTCCAATCAAAATCGCGTAACGAAATCGACATCCGGTTGTAAACAACATGGATTTCAACGTCCAGATTTCGGTCGACTGGAGGATTTGCAAAGCATGTGTACCGTCAACTGGGCGTAGACAGATATTTTCCAAATCTTTTAATGCTTTTAATCAAGGTGCTCACATGATTTGATGCACTTAAGACCCGTTTTATTTAGGAGATAAACCTACTGTGTTTTGAAATTTGATGTAGTCCCACTGAAGAGTAGATACCTCTTTATTTTAATTTGGAACCGGGCGCTTTAGGGGTGTCTACTCTACAGTGGGACTCATCAAATTTCAAAACACAGAAGGATTATCTGCATTCTACCAAGAGGCAGGGGAGTTAACTGGCTGTAAAAGACGGGTTTCCACCCTTTCCGAACAAGGTTTGAATTTCGGTGTCACATTTTGGTTGGACAAACGAGTCTATGCATAGTCCAATCAAAATCGCGCAACGAACTTGACATTCGGTGGCTCTACGATCGAGCCCAGAAATTCCAGCCTAGTTCGGCAAGGGTGGAAACTGGACTTATATAATCAGTTAGCTCCCTTGGCTCGGGAAGATAGAAGGTGTCTGTATTGAGGGATTGTAAAACTTGACAGAGAAATCAGCTTACAAGCACGAAGCTATACGGCGGAAACAAGCTGCGGACGAACAATCAATATAAGCAGGAACATCCATGGCTACAGGCGAGGTGACGTTAAATGGGGTTTGTCGCGTCCAACATTATTGAACATACAGTAAACTACGGTTATAACGAACACGCTTATAACGAACTAACGGATATAACGAACTAACCTTTTAGTCCCGACTATATGCTGTACACAGACTTGACCAGTCCTTGTTTTAGCCCCTTATATTATATTATTAATGCCGAGCGCCAGGAAGGGTAACGACAAGTACCATATTTTAAGTCTACGGTATGACGCGGCCCGGGAATAGAGCCCCTGACCTTAATAATAAATCCGCTCTCCGGGCAGACTCTCTACCACTTGACCACGGAAGCGATCCCCGTGGCCGCAAAAGTTCTCATATTGCCTGATTATATAAGTAAATAAGATGTTCGAAACACATAAACGTATGTACACTGAAAGGCAAAAGAATCGTCACTTCTTAAAATACTGATAAAACTTAACAGACACTGGTAGTTACATGTTCTGTGGTCAATAAACTCATTTATCGTTCTACTGCTTTTTTTTGTTGCCTTAAAGTCCATTTAACAATTGAGTTTAAAATGGAGTGCTTTGCCCAAACGCAGCCTACAAAAGTGCAATGGGACTCAGTTGCGGAAACGTCTTGTCAAAGGGACTCACATGATGCACGTGCATATCGTGGATGGTATGGGTATAAAAGACACCCCAAACTGTTAAGCTGGCTTTCGCTATTTCCATTCATCAGCCATGCCAAGATTATCAGGAAATGAGAGACAACAAGCGATCGGAAGACTGCAAGCAGGCCAGAGTGCACAGGACGTTGCAGATGCATTCAATGTCAACGTCAGAACGATATATCGTTTGCAACATCGCCACAACACCACCAACACCAACGACGACCGACCGCGTAGTGGTCGTCCTAGAGTCACTTCTCCCAGACAAGATCGGTTCATGATCCGCCAACATCTGCAGAACCGATTCCAAATGGCCACTGAAACAGCTCGGCAACCATTGGCAACCACCAGCGTGCCATCAGTGATCGTACAGTCCGACGTCGCCTAACTGCCAACAACATCTCGTGCCACCGTCCTGCTCGTGTACCCATCCTGAGAGATCGTCACCGACAGGCCCGACTGCAATTGGCAGGCAGCATCAAAATTGACGTCAACAGCACTGATGAAAGTCGCTTCTGTGTTTCAACGGTGGATGGCAGAGTTAGGTTCTTGCGAAGGAGGGGCGAACGTTATGCTGATGCTTGTGTTATGGAACGAGATCCAAGCATCTTGGTTTGGGGTGGAAGCGGACTGAACCAGAGAGTGGGACCTGTGGTCTTTCAGAATATTGGTCCAGGCAGGGGTAATGGCATCACAGCTCTCCGCTACATTGACCAAGTCCTCAGACCCCATATCGTGCCTTTGTTTGCCCGTCATCAAAACCACACCTTTTAGCAAGGCAACGCCCGTCTCCACACTGCCAGAGTCACCAGGGACTTCCTCCAGCAGCACAACATCCCAATCATGCCTTGGCCTGCCCTCAGTCCGGATTTGAATCCCATTGAACACTTGTGGGATGAGATCCAACGCCGACTCAACGACGTACGCCCAAGGCCGACAACTGCAGCAGAACTGCGTGTAGCGTTCCTGAGGATATGGGCCCATATCCCAATGGCCTTCATCACCAGGCTAGTCCACTCCATGTACAGGAGATGTGTGGCTGTAGTCAACGCCCGTGGTGGCCACACCAGGTACTGATTTTTAACCCCCTAGCTGTGATGTCTTCTGGTGCCTCCCCAAATTCACAATTCGCAAAAACATCCCCCAGACTGTTAATTTCATTTATGTCTTTACTTACATATATAAGCATTTGAAAATAAAAATATTTATATGATACATCCACATGACGTTTCTTTTGCCTTACAGTGTATATTTGTCTAACCTTGACCTCACCTTTATGCAGCCAAAGCCTGCTGTGACATTTTACGACAACGTCAACGTTTATATTGATATTAGCGTTGGCAAATATGTTTGTATAATTTCTAATATGTCTCATTTTATATCAGTAACTGTTTTATACCATGCTTTATTGTCTCTCATAAATCATTGAGCGATTGTCGTAGACACTTTCCCTACAATATCATTGTATTTTAAAATTTATTTTACGAGTGAGACTTAAATACAATTTTCCGTCTGTCTATCTGTCGGTCTTGTCTGGTGTTATTTAACCTCATTAATGCCGGATGAGTGAATATGGTTTTACGCCTCTTTAGCAATATTCAGCAATATCACAGCGGGTATCACCAGAAAGGAGTGAGTGAGTATTGTTTTACGCCGCGTTTAGCAATATTCAAGCACTATCACGGCGGGGGACACCAGAAAGGGCTTCACACACTGTACCCATGTGGGGAATCGAACCGAGTCTTCGGCGTGACAAGCGAACGCTTTAACCACTAGGCTACCCCACCGCACGATGTCGGATGAAGAACATTGTTGACCTATAGATGCCCAGGCCTGTGAGGCTGTTTTGCTACTCACGATCCACTTGGGCTTGTTGAACTGGCGGGGGATGGGCTTCTTGCCAGTGAGCCAGGGGTCTGACAGCACCTCCTCCACGACCGGGCGGAGCAGGGGGTTGTACTGGAGCATCCTCCGTATCAGCACCATGCAGTCTACACAACAGGGGAGAGTTAAAACAACATTTTGGCGTGTATTTCAGAGCAAGCACCTGACCAAACATACCGAAATTACCTTGAGTAGGTGAGTGAGTTTGGTTTTACGCCGCTTTAAGCAATACTCCAGGAATATCACAGTGGGGGACACCAGAAATGGGCTTCACACATTGTACCCATGTCGGGAATCGAACCCGGGTCTTCGGCGTGACGAGCGAACGCTTTAACCTCAAGGCTACCCTACCGCCCCGAAATTACCATGAATAAGGAAAAAAGATATTTATTGTTTGCTCATGGTGGTATAACCGTAAAACTGGTGTGCATACAGTGTAAATCCGCATAGCCGAATTAAGAATCAATATATCTATTTACTTTAAAAGACATATGTTTTGACGCGGAAAAATCAAGGTTAGAATTTCTTCAGCAACCCATGTTTGTCGCAGGTGGCGACTAACGAGATCGGGTGGTCAGGTTCGGTTATTCGGTTGATGCATGTCATCGCATCCCAATTGCGATCGATGCTCATCATGTCAATCACTGGATTGTCTGGTCCAGACTCGATTACTTACAGACCGCAGTCACATAGCTGGGAAATTTCGTTGAGAGTTTGATCTTCTCAATACATTTTACATCATGCAGCTATCTTTTGTGATTTTTAAAAATTATGGTAAAGTTTCTTTTGACCGTCAGTATATACTCATGTGTATATATACTTTACTTTCCGATATAAAATACAAGATCAGCGCGCTGGACGCGCATCTATCGTTCTGTATCAACTGAGTGAGTGAGTGAGTGAATTGGGTGTAACGCCGCTTTTAACAGTATTCCAGTCATATCACGGCGTGTCAGCTTAATATGGGAGGAAAGCCCGAAGTGATGCAGGTCTCAGACGTTTACCACTTCGGTGAAACCCACGAGCACGGGTATGGTGCTGAAAAACCTAGAAACAAAATCGGGGCGAACCGGGATTCGAACCCACAATCATAGGTTTCTGGCATGCCTAAGGGACGCAACTCTGCACAGCGAATCGCGGCGCCTTAGTCGACTGGGCCCCCCGTGCCCCCGTATCAACTGATTGGATCTCATCTTGGTCTCATATCAGGTCCGCTCGGCCAACTATACTACTCAAAAGAAGTTAAGGACCAAGCCATGCCAGATTAACTATGGTAATATGAAAGAATAGATTGGTCCTTAACTTCTTTTGTGTAGAACATGACAGATTAACTCTGGTAATATGAAAGAATAGAGTGGTCCTTAACTTCTTTTGAGAAGTACATACTACTGAATATTTATTAAATAAAATAGCTACGCGGTAAATCCTAAATAACAATGAACAACGAAGCGTGGTTTATGTCACGATAAAACATTGTTCTGTCTTGACGTCATTTATGGAAAATAGAACATGTGCGCGCAACTTGATGACGAGGAAAGTCTAGTGAGTTGTTCCCCATAATGCAGCTGGACAGCGCAGATGAACGCAATGGCCGCGCGATCGCACCCAAAAGTGAGAGAGATATGACAGTCAGTATTGGGAGAAAAGGTGCAGATAATCGACTTGAAAATTGTGAGAATACCAAACTTAACCCCCACCCCCCTGTACATAAAATGGACTTGTCCAACATTGAAGAGGTCACATTCTTGAAAAAGGTGTACAAAATGATATCTCATATAAGAAATAAACGTCTCGTTGTCGTTGTTTATCGTACAATAAATTATATTGTACGATAAACAACTCCTACTTGTCGTTTATTTCTTAAATAATGTTGGTTGGTTTGTTGTTTTACGTCGTACTCTGCAATATTCCAGCTATATGACGTCGGTCTGTAAATAATCGAGTCCAGACCAGACAATCCAGTTATCCACGCTATTGGCATCGATGACATGCTTCAACCAAGTCAGCGAGCCTGACCACCCGATCCCGTTGGACGCCTCTTACGACTTAAATAATGTATTAACAAATGTAAAGGTTGGGCAGTATAGGACGCAACAATATCCTGGCGGTCATGTAAGAAACACTCACCAAATGAGACATTACGCTCGAATCTGAGCCTCTGCATTCTCATATCCTCGTCCATCTCGCTTAGCTGACTGTCGTTGTAAGGGAGACGGCCGTTCACCATGGCGAACAGGATGATGCCACTGGAAATACACCCATCGGTATCAGACAAGGTTGTGTCTTGGGCCCAATTTTATTCTTTCTAAACGAGACAGCGTGTACTATCAAAAGGAAACGTAACCGTGGAATTTTCGCGTTATACAAAAATGAAGATTTTGTGTTGACATTGTTCTTATTGATTATTGCTGTTCGTGATTTGCAAAAAACAATTTGATAAATACAATTGAAATTCATTCCATGTATGTAAACAGGCAATGGTAAATATATTAATTTCTCATAATACTGAAAATGTTCGCATTGTAGCCATGTGTCACATGTTCCGGATTCATTGCGCATGCGTTTGCATTGTTTTATGATGCCGCACGTAAAATGCCTGGAATACCCCATTGTTAATATTCACAAGTATGTATCCACTACGTTCCTGAATTACCTGTGAGCACATTTTCAGAAGACAAAAGTCCTGTACACTGTTTTTAGCCACGAGTAAAGCATTTACTCACAGACTCCAGGCATCCGCTCTGTATCCGTCGTACGGCTTGTTCTTGATCACTTCCGGTGCTGTGTACGCATACGACCCACAGGAAGTCTTCAGGAGCAGGTTCCGGTCTGGGAAGCGGCAGGAGAATCCAAAGTCTACAATGAAAACATGACACACATTAAAATTTTTTTTATAATAAACATGCATGTTTTCAGCATTCTGTTTGCGTATCATTGTGATAAGGAAGACTTAGTGTAAAATAATTGTACTACTTCATATGTCCCCGCGGTGATTCTGGGTTGGAATTGTCCCCAGAAACCTATGCTGGTCGGAAAAGGAGGCCAGTTGGATCGGGTTTTGTTTGTTTGTTTGTTTGTTTGTTGTTTAACGCCGCTCTCAGCAATATTACAGCTATATGACGGCGGTCTGTAAATAATCGAGTCTGGACACAGCAATCCAGTGATTAATATCATGAGCATCGATCTACAGATGCATGAATCAAGCCAGGGAGCCTGACCTCCTGATCCCGTTAGTTGTCGTTTAAGTTTGTTTGTTGTTTAACGCCACGCTCAGCAATATTCAAGCTATATGACCGCGGTCTGTAAAGAATAGAGTCTCCAGTGATCGACATCATGAGCTTCGATCTACGCAATTGGGATACGATGACATGCATCAACCAAGTCAGCGAGTCTGACCACCCGACCCCCGACGCCACACTCAACAATATTCAAGCTATTTGACGACGGCCTGTAAAGACTTAAGTCTCCGGTGATTGACATCATGAGCATTTATCCACGCAATGGGATACGATGACATGTATCAACAAGTCAACGAGCCTGATCCCCCGTCCTCTTACGACAAGTATCATCGCATCTTATGACAAGCATGGGTTGCTGAAGACAAATTCTAACCCGGATCTTCACGGCTGCGACTCTGAGTGTATTAACGAGTATACTTCCTCATCATACTGACCTACATTCCGAAGAAATCAGTATTTCATGACCTACATTCCTGCTATTAATATAGGCTTACCTGTTATTTTAACGGTAGTTTCTGACGTGATGAGGATGTTCTCGCACTTCAGATCTCTGAAGACAGAAAGATACATTGAGAATGTACCTCAATCATCTTTCACACAAACAGAAACATGACACTTCTATTCAGGTTCGTACACTATGACGACTGTAACTCCCATATTTTAACATAGGCTTCCCACAGTGGTAACGCTAAGATCGCTTTGTGAAACGGGACCCTGGACCCGATTCCTCAAAACGATCGCAGCGCTAAAGCGATTTTATCACCCATACTGGCTTCCGCAGGAGATATCGCTTGGATATATCGTAACAATGAAATTACAATGCTTTAAAATGCAATACAATGCTTCACAGGTGAGGTGAAACAGGGTTTAACGTCGCGGTCAAGATTATTGCACTGATATAGCGACGTGTTGTGCAGGTGTTACTGTGAGTGAAATCCATCTACCTGTGCACGATGGCGTTGTGCAGGTGTTACTGTGGGTAAAATCCACCTACCTGTGCACGATGGTGTTGTTGTGCAGGTGTTACTGTGGGTGAAATTCACCTACCTGTGCACGATGGCGTTGTTGTGTAGATGTTACTGTGAGTGAAATCCACCTACCTGTGCACGATGGCGTTGTTCGTGTTACTGTGACTAAAATCCATCTACCTGTGATCGATAGCGTTGTTGTGCAAGTGTTACTGTGACTAAAATCCACCTACCTGTGCACGATGGCGTTGTTGTGTAGATGTTACTGTGAGTGAAATCCACCTACCTGTGCACGATGGCGTTGTTCGTGTTACTGTGACTAAAATCCACCTACCTGTGCACAATCGCGTTGTTGTGTAGATGTTACTGTGAGTGAAATCCACCTACCTGTGCACGATGGCGTTGTTCGTGTTACTGTGACTAAAATCCACCTACCTGTGCACAATCGCGTTGTTGTGTAGATGTTACTGTGAGTGAAATCCACCTACCTGTACACGATGGCGTTGTTGTGCAGGTGTTACTGTGACTAAAATCCACCTTCCTGTGCGGGCTGGCGTTGTTGTGCAGGTGTTTATGTGACTGAAATCCACCTACCTGTGCACGATGGCGTTGTTGTGCAGGTGTTACTGGGACTAAAATCCACCTTCCTGTGCAGGCTGGCGTTGTTGTGCAGGTGTTTATGTGACTAAAATCCACCTACCTGTGCAGGCTGGCGTTGTTGTGCAGGTGTTTATGTGACTAAAATCCACCTACCTGTGCACGATGGCGTTGTTGTGCAGGTGTTACTGTGACTAAAATCCACCTACCTGTGCACGATGGCGTTGTTGTGTAGATGTTACTGTGAGTGAAATCCACCTACCTGTGCACGATGGCGTTGTTGTGCAGGTGTTACTGTGACTAAATTCCACCTACCTGTGCACGATGGCGTTGTTGTGTAGATGTTACAGTGGGTGAAATCCACCTACCTGTGCACGATAGCGTTGTTGTGCAGGTGTTACTGTGAGTGAAATCCACCTGCCTGTGCACGATGGCGTTGTTCGTGTTACTGTGACTAAAATCCACCTACCTGTCCACGATGGCGTTGTTGTGTAGGTGTTACTGGGACTAAAATCCACCTTCCTGTGCAGGCTGGCGTTGTTGTGCAGGTGTTACTGTGACTAAAATCCACCTACCTGTGCACGATAGCGTTGTTGTGCATGTGTTGCACGCCCTGGCTCATCTGTTTGAAGATCTTCTTGGTGAGGTCCTCACTGATGCCGCGTTGGTTGTTGTTGATGGTTCGGTTGATCATGTCCAGTAGGTCCCCCTTCTCGCAATACTCGAGGACAAGGTACACCTGGTCGGCCGTGGAGAAGTTCTCGAACACTTGAACCTGGGACGTGGACATGTGACATAGCTTCGATTATACAGTAAACTACGGTTATAACGAACACGTTTATAACGAACTCACGGATATAACGAACTTACTTTTTGGTCCCGACGACTTGCTGTAGTCATGCTGTATATGTACTTATAACGAACTACGGTTATAGCGAACTAAAATTAGTAGTCCCTTTGAGTTCGTTATAACCGTAGTTTACTGTACATAAGTTTTGTGTCTCATCTCCTACTGGGTAACTCTGGAAGGGGGAAACCGGATGTCGATGGCGTGAGCATCTATTAGTATACTCATCACGTTTGGATGCGTATACTGTCATAGCGACTGATTTACGACACCCATTGTCTGAAGAACATTTAATTGCAAAGGCTAATTACCCTGGAGCCATGACATCTATATGCCTTGAAACACTTCATTGCTGTTATTTATAAGATGCTAATCCTATTTGTTAATCCCCATTTTTATGTACATCGACCGTCTGCCATCCTGAGCGAGATGTGCAAGTATGTGACTGATGATTTACTGTTTACATTTATATTTATTACTTACTAAATGTCAGGTGACCTTGACTATATAAGCCTTGGTCCAGAGAGAAGGAGAAAAGAAAGGTCTTACCCTTAGCCTAGGTAGGGTTAGGCTGGGTGCTCCGGGGCACCTAGACGACAACCACTACCACTATGTGCTGACCTGGCACATAGTGTCTTTTGTATGTATATATCTACATGTATAAAGTAAAACTGTATATACCGCAAGCCATCGTCTCCAAGTTGTCACTTCCTACAGGAACCATACGTCGGCCTCTTGCATATACGAGTATGCAAATTATACATTTATCAACGCCAGACCACACGCGTTGCTAACACACCACGTACTCACCACGAGAGGAGGATTTGAGGAATTGGTGAATTAGTGAGAGCCCCAAGCCAATAAAATGTTAAACAAATAGTGAGTGAGTGAGTGAGTGAGTGAGTTGGGTTTAACGCCGCGTTTAACAGTATTCCAGTTATATCGCGGCATGTTCAACAAATAACAACTAGGTGAGTGAGTGAGTGAGTTGGGTTTTACGCCGCTTTTAACAGTATTCCAGTTATATCACGGCGTGTCAGCTTAATGTGGGAGGAAAGCCACAAGTGATGCAGGTCTCAGACGTTTACCACTTCGGTGAAACCCACGAGCACGGGCATTGTGCTGACAAACCTAGAAACATAATCGGGGCGAACCGGGATTCGAACCCACAATCATAGGTTTCTGGCGTTCCCAAGGGACGCAACTCTGCACAGCGGATCGCGGCGCCTTAGACGACTGGGCCACCCGTGCCCCCCAACAACTAGGAGAACCAGCCTGAAGAGGTTCGCTGGAGTGGAAGCTCGCTCAAATGTTGGGATTAATTTACTCAAAGTTGGTATTTATATCTATCTGCTGTCTGAGAGTTCATATATATGTATATGTTTTTAACTTTTTTTTGGTGGGTGGGGGTGTGGGGTGTGGGTGTGGGGTGGGGGTGTGGGGTGGGGGTGTGGGGGTGTGGGGGTGGGGAAGAGGTATACTCACCACGTGTGGGTGGTGGGGGAGCGTAGCGTGGTTGTCTAGTTCACGGGGAAGGAACTTTCGGAGAAACTCTTTTGGCACCAACTTCTTGTTGATCACCTTGATAGCCACCTTGGATGTAGAGATACAGTACAACCTCATTAGTGCGGACACCCTTTGTCCAGAAAGCCACCTTTAGGAGATTACTTCTTGGAAGGTTGGCTTATATATGAAAGGAACATCTCACAAACCTCACCAGTTAATCTGGACATTTATTAATCCGAACCATCTCAATAGACATGCTACGGTCCGGACTGAGAAGGTTTAACTGTGCGTTGTATATACAAATGAGTGAGTGAGTGAATTTGGTTTAACGGAGCTTTTGAGCAGTATTCCGGTTATATCACGTTGTGTCAGCTAAATGTGGGAGGAAAGTCTTAGACGTTTACCACTTTGGTATATTGTGCTAAAAAACTAAAAACATAATCAAAGCGGACCGGGATTCGAACCCACTATCATTGGCGTTTGTGGCATGCTTGAGGGACGCATCTCTGCACAGCGATTTGCGCCGCCTAAGACAAAGGGGTCAAAATTAGTTGTTTACAAATACATTTGACAAAATCAGTTGCATGGGATTGCTTGGAAAGATATGATATTAATACAAAATAACCACATCGTAAATCGTGCATTAAATTTTATTTAAAGAGCCATTTGCATGGTCCATTTTTTAGTACATGGTGCAATAATTCTTCTGTCGCACATGTTCATATGAACTAAATATAAAAGTTGTATGATATTTCTCATTATTTATAAATCCAGATTTGAAAGAAAAATAATAATAATATCAGTAAATAATGTAACCCCAATATCATGGTTCAGTCGGTACCCTTTACCTTTTTTTATAATCCATATTCGTATTATTTATTTCACAAAAAAATGAATCCCAACCGTGGGATTTAAAAAAATGGATTAATTTGTTCCAGAAACAAACTCGAAAAGATTAAGCTGTCCGCATGTTTGAAATATAAATTTGGGGCAAATGAAGCAAATTTATTGATTTTCAAAGATCAGATTCTAAGATACCCACCAGCAGTTGTGTGTTATGCGATTTATAGTTATTTTAATTGTTGAAAGTTTTTAAAGCAAATTAAATATTTAAACCATGTAGAAGTATTCTTTGAGTGCTGACAAAAGGCAAGAACAGTTCAATTTTATATATTCTCTCTAACTTACGATATTTTGATTTGGAAATGAAACATATGATAAAATCAACTGAGAGGTATAGTTTCTTTTGCATTACAGTAACTTATGTCATGAATGAGGATAAATTGTATGTACATTTGATTGTTCCAGCTCAGTGAGTGAGTGTGATTTTACGCCGCTTTTAGCAATATTCCAGCAATAAAACGGCGGAGACACCAGAAATGGTCTTCACACATTGTACCCATGTCGGGAATCGAACCCGACGTGACGAGCGAACCACTAGGCTACCCGACCGCCCCCTCCAGCTCTCAAATGCTTGTCAACCCTTGCACTATACCCTTGGCCATGACACACGTGTACTATACCAAAACTGGTTTGTTCTAATAATAATTACACCGGTATTGTTAATCATTTACCCTCAAATATATGTCCATGGATATGACGACCCTACCACAAATCGGTTATTTTTTTTACAAGAATGTCCCTTTAGGGTCGAATCTTTTCGAAATTATGTCAATATTTTTCGAAATTATTCAACCCGTAAAAATTTGGTTTAAAATTGGTCTGCAGCCACCCATGCTTGTCGTAAGAGGCGACTAACGGAATCGGGTGGTCAGATTCGCTGACTTGGTTGATGCATGTCATCGCATCCTATGTGCTTAGATCAATGCTCATGATGTCAATCACTGCATTGTCTGATCTGTTATTTACAGAACACATCATTAAGTTGGAATATTGCTCAGTGCGGCGCTAAACAACAAACAAACAATCGAAATAATTCTTCAATGTGCCGTATCACAAGGGATCAAGCCTACTTCAGCCGTTAGTTAAAGTAAATGGTAATTAACAACAAGTACACGCTTTGCCCCCATACAACGATACTCTTACACGGGTTTTACCCAAAAATCAATCAAGACAAACCCGTGGGGGAGTTTTACCCAAGAATTAATAACGACAAACGGGCGGTCGGGTAGCCTAGTGGTTAAGGCGTTCGCTCGTCATGCCGAAGACCAGGGTTCGATTCCCGACATGGGTGCAATGTGTGGAGCCCATTTCTGGTGTCCCCCGCCGTGATATTGCTGGAATATTGCTAAAAGCGGCGTTAAACCATATTTACTCACTCACTCAATAAAGACAAACGGTATACTCACGAACGGGTTGCTACCATCCACGGTGTCAGACAGTCCCTTGCATCGAGCGAGTTTGGCTGCCGATACTTCAGCGAGACTGACTTTGGCGTATGCCCCTTCCCCCAAAGTCTTACCGAGAAGTCTGTACCCCCTGCCCAGACACTCTGTCATTACAATCTCACTCTCGGTTTCTTTGGCGGTCTGGGACTTACACGAGAAGAGTTGTCCTTTCTTACCCCCCTCGGCCTCTGGTACATTAACCCTGCGATTGTAAGGTAGCTTAATCGTACCCGTTGCCATTTGCAGGTGTTTTTTTCTACCTGTTCGGAAATCTGTCCGTTCTTTGAGCAGTTACATCGCCACGTCTTCTCGCTATCCTGCCATGGCGCTGACAGCGCTCTTTCGCTTATGACGTCAGGGTGTTTGTGACGTCACAGCTTTGTGACGTTTAACAGTATTGGCACTTCGAGCCGCCATTCGTCACCACTCGCCCCTTTCCGTAACCTGCAAGAAGACTCGTCCCCCTATCGATGAAGGTTATGTGCGAAAATACGACAAACCAATCAGAATGCGCGTTTGATTTCAAGTTGTTCATCAAAGAATCCCTCAGAAATAATTTTTGATTTTACATATGTTTTGCATCTAAAAATATACCCAAGACACAGTTAAATGTGTTCAATCATGCTGTATAATTCCGCATGTCCAGATGTGCTTTAAATTGCATCTGAAATATATATAATATATGGGGAAATATATGTGAACCATTACGCAACGAGTTGACAATTGATTTAGGTATGCCCGTTTGCGCTAAGACGGAACCCGGTCGCAAAAATGGATATGAGAGGGGCACGAGTCGCTATTCGGCCTGTCCCGGAATAACACGAGTTGCTCACGAATGTTCGAGAAGCGCCCCAATCTCACGTTCGGCTATTTCCGTCGATCCGGGGAAAAAGTCACTGGTTATGCCAGCGCCCTCTGTTAGCGCTACGACCACCTTCACTGTCACATTTTACCCCCCTGGATGCCACAGGGACATATATGTCCCTCCTTTTAAAAACCCCAAATTGAACACAAATAAAATTCAAACTGCATCACTCACAGACATACTCTTCAGGTTGTGAACCCTGCCGGAAATTCTCTATTTTGTGACATATTCCGCTGACATTTTAGGCAAACAAAATTACTGAAAACTGAAAATTAGTAACATCGTAAATCTCGCCATTTTTTACATATTACCAAATCGCCATTCACGGCGTTATTTCGCGTATGTTTTGAAATATAAATATCGGCTATTTACCCAGAGATTTTAATTACCAAAAATGCTTGTATGTGATAAGGGGCATCTGTTTTCTAATCACATCATCGATGATCATTCTGAATCGTCGCCGATAACCCTTAATCGTTTAGAAGTTGTTGTTTTTTAAAATACGCAAATACGAACGCCGAAGTGGATAGTGTTTACAAAATCACGTTTGACTGAAGAGTAAACAAAGCAAAATTCAGATTTTACTCTGTGTAGCATTTTCTCCTTTTTTGAGGGATTTATTCGGTTGATTGCTTGTCAACGTACCCCGTTGTTTCTCATTATATCAATCACTGCATTGTCTGGCCCAGATTCGCCTATTTACAGACGTAAAATGGCTGGTATATCGCTGGGTGCGGCATTAAACAACAAACTAACATACAAATGTAGATCAACTGTTGATATATCTTCACTCAGAGACTACATCTATATGTAAAGGTTCTATGCGAAAACTAAAAACATCTCTTATTCTTTCCGATTGTTTGGTTCAAGATATTTTTCAAAACATAAATTGAAAAATAATTTAAACCCTTTCTTAAAGTCATCTTGTACAAGTATTGACGGCCGGTGGATAGAGTAAAGCGAAAGTAAAATGAGAAAAAAATGTTTTTGAGAATTACAAGTCAATTACAATGATAATTTCATCCCGATATTTGCCTACGTCGAACCATCTTCTCATTACTGAAGGGAGAAGAAGGGAGAAGAGTGGAAAAGTGTCCCAAACCATCACAAGAATTTCGTTTATTTGTATATTGAAATACTGAAATGCAAATGAAATGTTCCTCGGGTCCTGAGATTTTCGCTTCATATCGTGTAGTACTTTGGGGTCGGTGGGGTAGCTGAGTAGTTAAAGCGTTCGCTCGTCACGCCGAAGACCCGGGTTCGATTCCTCACATGGGTACAATGTGTGGAGCCCATTTCTGGTGTCCCCGCCGTGATATTGCTGGAATATTGCTAAAAGCGGCGTACTTTGCAACGGATTTTACTCGTGTAATATTATGGATATGTCGGTTGACATCAGTCTTTTGATAGGTTTCAATTATTGGGGAATTCATGAAATAATTAGCGCGACACCCTAGGCCTCTTCTTGAGCTCAGCTGGGTATATCTGTTACAAATCAACAGTATATTGAGTTAATCTGTCACATTATCAAGGCGTTTAGCATGGCAGACTACACAAACGCTCGTCATATGGAGATTTCGTATGGAGACCACAACTGCAAAGATCTTACACCGAAACATGGTTAATATTTTCCGTTGATAAAGGAAAAGGTCAAAGGTTAAATATATTTCCACATTTAGTAAAGATTTAAACTGAGAATAGTACCTATAATTAGACGAAGCGTCGAGGGAGGGATACTTGACGGTACACCTGTCATTAATTTGTCAATGTGGTACTATCGTTTTGTTTGTTTGTTTGTTCGTTGTTGAACGCCACACTTAGCAATATTCCAGATATATCAGGGCGGTCTGTAAATGATCGAGTCTGAACCAGACAATCCAGTGATTGATATCATAAGCATCGATCCACGCAATAGGGATACGATGAGACGCATCCACCATGTCAGCGAAACTGACCACCACATCCCGTTAGTCGTCTCTTACGACAAGCATAGCCGCATTGTACGGCAAGCATGGGTTTCTGAAGACCTATTCTACCCCGGATCACGGGTCAAGGTTTAAAGTTTGTGGGCCAGACACTTACAAGCCCCTCGCAGCGATATCCCATCCGCGGAGCTCTCTATGCTATCGCTGCCACCAGTCAAAACTCCCCACTGTGATAGGTGGCCACAACCATACATGGAGTTGAACTCGCAGCCATACTGGCCGTTATGTTTTCAAACAAGTGATGGCTGCCAAGACGTCGAACACTCTAACCTCTGCTAAATTATTTTCGTTGTTTGTCAATTTGAATTTCTATTTCATTTCAACTATCATGTAATTGATATGGTAAGAATGTAAAGGGAAAGTTGAGTGATTTTCCGTTCGTCTGCAATCTCGAATCAATCTGATGAAACAAACAAAAAGGTAAATTCATCTGGGTAATCTGGTCAGTCGTAAAAAAAATAAAAATTCACTATGATGGAATTCCAAAAGACATAAACAGAACTATAATATGACTACATTTGGGGTTAGACGGCAAAAACTTGTAATGGCCGCGCCCACACTGACGGCAGCGATGTTACCGAGAGTGTAACGAAGGTGTCACGCGCTGGGAAGGACATTGGGACACTTACGATAAAGGGAGACAATTTGAGGGGAGGTAATTCTTGCGTGACAATAGTTCCGTCAAAGTGTTATGTTCACAGCAACTTCAGAAAACACAGCCTTCATTCACACTGAAGTATATGCTAAAATGTTCACAAAAACTTGATGAATTACACAGTTTAAAGAGACTTTTGAACAATATTTCAACTTCGGGATGAGTCAATAAAAAGGAAATAAAATATTCAACTTTTCTGTGATAAATATTATATCATAAATATATATATGTATAAATATATATATATATATATATATATATATATATATATATATATATATATATATATATATATATATCATCATATTTGATAATATCATATTGCAATGTAAATACTGTGTGTATGGTCAATGATAGAATAGTGTTGTATATTCATTGTATACAACCCTCAAACGTAAAAACCAGAGGCACTTGTTTAATAAAAGCTTTCTCGTAAATTCTGCATAAACTATAATTGATAAGTTAATATTTTCTGCTAATTCAGGTTTATGGTGAGATTCTTGGAAAATAGAACAAAACACAGCCGGCGTCACTCTCGTAAGATCTCGCGTAACTTTGAAATTCGTGATCGATCTCTAGGCATTCTGTGATTGATCGATAATTCAGTTGAGGGACAGGTATGCCATGACCTGTTCAACAGAGAGATGCCAGCTCGCACCCGGAAGGTCGACAGACAGATTTTATTTATTTAAACGTCAGTAAATTTAAATTATTTAAAGTAAAGAAGATAAAGCGAGAGGGACATTCCGAGGGGCGTTGCACTTTCCTTCCATAACAGCATCGTCACAGGTTATCTGTTCCGGTCAAATATCTAACCTTTCATAGAAAATATCAAAAACATCAACAAACAAACAAAGCACTTAATAGAAAAAAACAGCCACACAAACAACTATTAAACCTGCCAAAGTAAATAATTTAGAAAAATAACAAAGCAAAAGCTAACATAAAAATAAATAAAAACGTATATGAAAACAAAAATTGTTGCAAGCTTCGACGTTCATACAGTTTGGCCCTGGGCCTGAGAAGGTTAAGGGGCGGTCGGGCAGCCTAGTGGTAAAGCGTTCGCTCGACACGTCGAAGACCCGGGTTCCATTCTCGACATGGGTACAGTGTGTGAAGCCAATTTCTGGTGTCCCCCGCCGTGATATTGCTGGAATATTGCTAAAAGCGGCGTAAAACCATACTCACTCACCCACTCACTGTGAAGGTTAATCCTCCAGTGAAATCAAACAACGTGAAAGTCAAATCTCAAATGTCTGCATGCAACAATCTCTGGACGGGGGAGCCAGACAGTTTGGGGGAACTCGGAAGATCCAGTGTGTTGTATGCCAGATGTTTTATTTTGCTTATTTTTTTCCTGTATTCTTGGAAACAGATTATTATTTTCAACAACACTTCATTAAAATTTGATATATATCTTTTAACTTTCAATATCTTTGCTTCAATCGCCTCTCAAAGTCTTAGTATACTTTCTTTTGGACGCCAGTTTTTATAAAGGATTTTTAACATACACACTTATTTATTTTAAATGTTGAATCTGCATACCAAATACTAGTTTATTTGCCTCCGTTCTCACAGCCTCAATGTAGCTTGGTGTTCAGTGACAGGGCTAATCTATTCATTCGATAATACCTGAGAAGGCAAGGAGGTGTATACCTTAAATTGGGTTTAAAAACAATGAATCCTCATCCTTGAAAGCACTCAAATCACCCCTAAAAATGAGACCCGTGAAGATTCCGGGGTAGAATAGGTCTTCAGCAGCCCATGCTTGCCGTAAAGGTGACTATGCTTGTCGTAAAAGGCGACTAACGGGATCGGGTGGTCAGGCTCGCTGACTTGGTTGATGCATGTCATCGATCCCAATTGCGTGGATCGATGCTCATGATATCAATCACTGGATTGTCTGGTCCAGAATCGATTATTTACAGACCGCCGTTATATAGCTGGAATATTGCTGAGTGCGGCGTTAAACAACAAACCTACCAACCCTAAAAATGAACTCCAAAGTGAGTTTGGTTTTACGCCGTTTTTAGCAATATTCCAGCAATATCACGGCGGGGGACACCAGAAATGGGCTTCACACATTGTACCCATGTCGGGAATCGAACCCGGGTATTCGGTGTGACGAGCGAACGCTTTAACCACAAGGCTACCCGACCGCCCCTGATTGTCAATAAAGTATTGATGAAGAAATGTAGCTAGTAGCCCCAATCAATTGGAGCGTGATGTCTGCGCGTGGCAGGGTTCAATGTTGGGTAGGCCATCAATAATTGATGCACGACTCCGACCTGCGTTGCCAACTAACATACCGGAAGTCAATATCCCCAACGCTAACTGACAGCTCACAGGACCGTGGAGGCCGTTTGGGTGAGTAGTTGAGTAGCTGAGATGTTGAGTAGTTGAGTTGTTGACTTGTTGATTTCTACTACATGTTTGTCGCTACCAGATCCACCTCTTTAGTTATGTAAACAAGACTACGACCGACGACCGACCAGACGTGCTGGGAACCACTCTTCCTTATCATAAGTCCAGAAGAAATTGACGTCATAATTAATTAACCCGTACAGTTGTGATAACAACCAAATTATTGCACAAAACCAATCTTCGGTGTGTCCTGGTTGTGTATACAAAACCCAAGAAAAAATTCTACTGGAGTAATGCAGTTTTACCACGCTGGCTCATATACTGACGGAATGTAATAAGGGAACATTACTTTTACAAAGGATAGGGTGTGAGTGAGTGAGTTTGATTTTACGCCGCTTTTAGCAATATTCCAGCAATATCACGTCGGGGGACACCAGAAATGGGCTTCACACATTGTACCCATGTCGGGAATCGAACCCAGATCTTCGGCGTGATGAGCCAACGCTTTAACCACTAGGCTACCCGACCGCACCTACTAAGGATAGGGACACAAGATGCGTGTGTGTCCCTCTGCCTCTGTCTCTCTCACTGTATGTCTGTGTGCGCGTGTAAGTAAACGCCGCCCCCTCTCAAAGATCTGATAGGGGCGGTCGGGTAACCTAGCGGTTAAAGCGTTCGCTCGTCACGCCGAAAACCCGGGTTCGATTCCCGACATGGGTACAATGTGTGAACCCTATTTCTGGTGTCCCCCGCCGTGATATTGCTGGAATATTGCTTAAAGCGGCGTAAAGCCATACTCACTCACTCACTCACTCAAAGATCTGATACACAAATAGTCTTTGTTGAATGTGGAACGGCATGAAGCGTCGGGCGTCTGATCTTCAAGTGACGAACGATGGACGTGCTCAGTACCGTATTACCCACAGGTGACTACGGAACAGAATATCACCTCAGTGTATGACATAATGGATTATCGATAAGAGGTGAGGTGAGCTGAAATTTGGATTAACGTCGCGTCCAAGATTATTGCACTTATATTGCGTGTTTGCGTGGCTGCTTGTACTAGTCCGGACTGATGCCGATTTATAGTGCTAGCTCACTGAGATACCATGCCGCAGTTTAACATGAATACCCCACTCAGACACAGTATACTGACTCCGAGCCGACCAGTCCTTGTTTTAGCCCCTTTATGCCGAGCGCCAGACAGGGTAACAACAAGTACCATCTTTTAACGTCTTTTGGTATGACGCGGCCGGGGATCGAACCCCGGACCTTCCGCTCTCCGGGCGGACGCTCTACCTCAAGACCGAGGAGGCGGCCGATTATCGATAAGATAAACCAATCCGATTAACGTGGTGTCCCGATCTGATAAATATGCAAATGAGATAATCTCGCAGGAAGATCAATACATACAAGAAATGCCAACTTGCTCAAAATCCTATGCACAGTGTTCACCATAGATTATCTCGGCTTCCTGATTTGTGAATCCTTGTGAGTGAGTGAGTGAGTTGGGTTCAACGCCGCTTTTAACGGAAACCAGTTATATCATGGCGTGTCAGCTCAATGAGGGAGAATAGCCCGAAGTAATGCCGGTCTCAGACGTTTACCACTTCGGTGAAACCCACGAGCACGGGTATGGTGCTGACAAGCCTAGAAACCTAATCGGGGGAGAACCGGGATTCAAACCCACAATCATAGGTTTCTGGCGTGCCCAAGGGACACAACTCTGCACAGCGAATCGCGGCGCCTTAGACGACTGGGCCACCCGTGCCCCCTGAATCCTTGTGAAACAAACATGGCTGCAAGGCGTTGGCACTTATGTAAGATTATAAATGGGGATATTCACTCGGTCACTGTATTCCAACGCTGTATCTCAGGTAACTTTAGTGAATGGAAATATAGCTTAAAAGTATCATAAGAATGACATTGCATGTTAAAGTGTTTATTACCCTCGCGGATTAGTAACTACAGTAAACTACGTTTAGAACAAACACGCTTATAACGAACTACCGATACAACGAACTTATATTTTAGTACCAGCCATTTGTTGTATACATGCTGTATATATGCTTATAACGAACTACGGTTATTACGAACTAAAATTGGTGGTCCCTTTGAGTTCGCTATAACCGTAGTTTACTGTACTTGTATTTTAAGAATAAAAAGCACGCATTTTGCTCGATACAGGCCCGCATACTACAATTGTATTGTTGATATATGATACATGTATTTACGATAAGAAACACACTCATCTATTAATCTCTTTATCGTTTAAAGTGATGTTTTTCGACATATTCACTGGCCGAGAAACGGTCACGTGTCATTCGACAAAAACGCATGCCAGGAGTGATATATTATCACTTCGATCGATCGAGCCCACAAATTCCAGCCTGGTTCGGCAAGGGTGGAAACTGGACTTTTACAGTCAGTTAACTCCCTTGCCTCGAGAAAATTGAGTGGCGTACATTTTATCATCCAAAACTGGCTCCCACAGGAGATATCGCTTTGATGAGATCAAGCGATATGTTCACTCTAGATATCGATGCAATGAAATTACATCACAATGCTTTGCAGACCATTGTGACATCACTGGTTACCATGACGTCACAATCAAATGACATCGCCAATGGCTCTGCTAATGAAGCTGTTTGCAGTACATTTTACACTGAAGACACTGCTAATTACTGTCTACAAATTGAAAAAGTTGGAAGAATGATGTTGGATGATAAATATAATCTTACACTCGTTGATAAAAGTGGCAAATATCCTCGGCAAGCCTCGGAGTTTTCCCACTTTTATCAACTCGTGTTGATATATTTGATATTAAAAGACACTCGGGTGAGATTCTCTATTTGTTTGGTAAAAATATGTCTGACAAACATAATTCTTTTTCATTTATTATGTATTTTCTTTCTGAGCTTCACGATCTGTCTGAAAACCGTAGCGTCAGTACCGTGAATTTCCCAATTCCCCAAAATAAGACTGGAAGTAGCTACGACAGATAGTGTTTTTGCACTTGAGTGAGAGATAAATTTCTTATTTTGTTACAGTATCTCATCACCAAATACATATTATTTTTATAAAACTGTTTATGTCCATAGATGGATTGAGAACGTCACCAGCGACAGTCAGTCTCCGGCGACGTCAGCACAGCTTCGTAGGAAACGCCAACGGGTGTGCATGATGCCATGGTCTTGCCACGCCCGGGGAGAGTCGGCGCATCATGCATAGTATAATCCTGTTCTCATGAAAAACCACTGTTAGTGCAAGTTAATGTTTGTCAGAGAAATATTTTTTCCAAAAGCCCAGATAAACAGACTAGGTCTTCGGTCTTCAAGATTTAAACACATTTGAATGTACAGAATCAAAGATAAATTATTACCTGTGGGAAAAAAACCCAAAAGGACCTTGCTTTCAACACCACTGATGATGACGGTTTTTACGTCAACCCTTCTCAGAAGCCTGTTCGTGGTGTCGAAGTCGAGACACTTATCCAAGACGTGTCACAAATCGGTGTGTTTGGGCGCTGCAGTCGTGTTTCTGGCGTCAGTTGTTTGTTCCGTGTTGATATGGCGCTACGTATCGTGTCCACCTGCTGTGTACGTGGACGAACTGTTGTCACAGAGTCTGTACTTAACAGTGACACCTGGTGGCAGAACGGGAAACCATCTCTTCAAGTATGCGTCATTGTTAGGAATTGCGGAGCGAACACGCCGTACACCGTTCATACCACCCTCCTACCCCCTCTTGGAGCTGTTTGAACTCACCCACGTGCAAGAGGTGGATTCTAGATGTTGGCCCTACGTGAAGGAAAGGTCTGCTGGAATTTATGACGGTATTTTTTTCACCCTACCTTTAACGAATGCGACACTTTTTGAATTTTTGCAATCATGGAAATATTTTAAAGCAGTTGAATCTCAACTTAGGGCTGAATTCCGTTTCCGGGCCTACATTGACAAACAAGCAAAAGGTCTTTTCAAACGCTATGTGGAATCCGTGACGGATGTGAATCGTCACGTGGTTGGTGTACATATTCGTCACGGTGACTACATGTACAATCGGTTTAAGAAGCTTGGATACGCGGTGCCGTCTCTTCAGTACTACAAGAGAGCAATGGCCTACATGAAGAGAAAACTCGGTAACGTGACGTTCCTTGTTGTTGGGGATGATCTCCCTTGGGCCAAGGTCAACCTGCAGGGCCCGGATGTAGTTATATCTGAGCCCCACCCCGCGGGCATCCACCTGGCCCTTCTATCTCGTTGTGGTCACATGATCCAGTCTACCGGAACCTTCAGTTGGTGGGCGGGGTGGTTTGTTTCAGGTCACGTGGTGTATTTCAAGGACTACCCAGAACGAGGCTCATGGCTGGACGGCCGGGTGGTGAAGGATGACTACTACTTGCCTCACTGGGTGGCGTTGTGAGGAAGATAACTTTATATACTACTCAAATGAAATTAAGGATCACCCGCTTCTTTCATATTACTATAGTACTGGCTTATAGATTACGTATCACCACAATATGATAGTGAGTGAGTGAGTGAGTATGGTTTTACACCGCTTTTAGCAATATTCCAGCAATATCACGGCGGGGGACACCAGAAATGGGCTTCACACATTGTACGGGAATCGAACTCGGGTCTTCGGCGTGACGAGCGAACGCTTTAACCACTAGGCTACCCGACCGCAGTAATATGAAAGAAACGGATGGTCCTGAACTTCTTTTGAGTCGTATAGAAACGCGAAAGAACTGCTGGTTTCAAAATTGGAAGTTCATGTATATGTTTCAGTGGAATTGTTTAATTTTGACATAACTGTCTGGTTTTTCAATTGTGTTGAGTTTAACGTCTATGAGAACACAACACTAGACTAAAATGCGCCATTTTGTAACTGCACTTGACTCTGTCTGCAGCAGTTTGCCACAAATGGGCTCACCGGAAGATGTTTAACAAAGCTTTTTTGCTACATTACGTACATATACATGTATATGTATTACATCATCTTATTACATAGTACATCTTTGCGATTGTCTGTGCATATGATCGTTGTCATTCATCATCAGCTGTAGCATTGCAAACAACAGCAACCTCTACCCAATTCCCCGTCCAGGAGCCAAGCTATGGTGTACTGACCGCGGGGTTGAATAATGGGTTCGCTCCTCAATAATGAAGACAAAGTTGACTCACGCCATCCTCACTATGGTACCCTGGCATCCCTAGGTATTACCACACGTAGACGTCAAGGGTCTGCGCCCGTTCCGTTCTTTCTTTCTCTCCAGTGTGTGTGTGTGTGTGTGTGTGTGTGTGTCTGTGTGTGTGTCTGTGTGAGAGAGAGAGAGAGTGTGTGTCTGTGTGAGAGTGCGTGTGTGTGTCTGTGTGAGAGTGTGTGTGTGTCTGTGTGAGAGTGTGTCTGTGTGAGAGTGCGTGTGTGTGTCTGTCTGTGTGAGAGTGTGTGTGTGTGAGTGTGTGTGTGTCTGTGTCTGTGTGAGAGTGTGTGTGTATGAGAGTGCGTGTGTGTGTGTGTGTATGAGAGTGCGTGTGTGTGTGTGTGTGTGAGAGAGAGAGTTTGCGTGAGCGCGTGTGTGTATGCGAGTGGGCGTGTGTGTGAGTGCATGTGTGTGTATGCGAATGAGTGTGAGTGTGAATGTAAGTGTGTGTGTGAGTGTGTGTGCGAGTGTGTGTTGTAAGAGAGTTGGAGGTAGGGTGTTGGGTTGCAAGCATCTGTGCCACATTCCTGTTTGATTTGATGATGAACTTGTGTCGCCCTAATATAATACAATGTCATGCATATTGATTGTAATAAAATGATATGAATGTTTGCCTTTTATATTGACACAGCAGTAGTTGTCATGACGACATACAATACAACATTTAAGAGGTAGAGAAAGCATGCAGGTATTGCATGTACTTACAATGGACAGGAAATTCTCGTTTAGAAAGACACATTTAGTACACGCCAATTCCACAAACATGTTACGACATTAAAATACGGTATACGGTATACGCGAAGTGCCCAGAGGTAGACCAAGGCCGGATGCAGCATTTTGCAACGTCAGTTCAATGAAAAAAAACTAAAGTATTTTTGGTGCATATGAATACCATGAAGCCATTCTACACCAAGCCACATAACGTGGAAACTGTTTGGGGAATAAAGTCTCGTGTATAAAATCCGCATGCATCATATCAACAGTGTGGTTTCGGTGTGGCCGAATGGCAATAGAATCGGTGAGAGCACCAAGCCCCTATGGATATATGTAAAATAAATAATACCAAAGAGAACCAGCCTAAACACACACACACACACACACATGGATAGACCTTTTAAAAAGGAAAGTTAACTTGGGACAGTAAAGTCCGGATTAGCGAGGTTTCACTGTATTCAATAAAGATTTAGAAGCCTTCCACTTCAAGCCCTTTTAAAAAGACATGGAAGGGGAGCGCGAGTGGATTACGTTGAGAATCTAGGCATAGCAGAGAAGCCACCGTTGATGTTGACGGACAGGGCGTGTTGATACCACTGGTCAGTGCTGATAGTCTAAATACTCCCACAGCTCATGACCTCCACATCCGGACGCCTTGTTAAAGCAGCATTGCCATCTGGTGAGGAGAATAGGTGTGTGAGTGAGTGAGTTGGGTTTAACGCCGCTTTTAACATTATTCCAGTAATATCACGGCGTGTCAGCTTAATGTGGAAGGAAAGCCCGAAGTGATGCAGGTCTCAGATGTTTACCACTTCGGTGAAACCCACGAGCACGGGTATGTTGCTGACAAACCTAGAAACATAATCGGGGCGAATCGGGATTCGAGCCCACAATCATAGATTTCTGGCGTGCCCAAGGGACGCAACTCTGCACAGCGAATCGCGGCGCCCTAGGAGGAAAATAGGGCTTAACGTCGTGGTCAAAATTATTTCACTTAGTCTACAAAAGAAATGTTTCTCATCAAGGTGACCAGTCTTTTTCAACCATATTTTTGCGTACGTGGCCTTGTTTTCTTACAGCGATTGAAAGAAAGCAGCCAGACACACTAAGAGTGATTACCTAATTCCAACAGCGAAAGAGTTGAAAGTACGTTCCACGAACGTGGAAATATACAAACAGACAAACAAACAAACAAACTGTAGTTTTTTACATAGTGTATCATGGCCTTAAGGACAGGAGGAACCATACTAAACTGTACTATTTTAAACATGTAGAAATTTAAATCATAGCTGAATTCGAAACGGAGGAAATGCATTGACCTGACAGGCTTTAAGTGACCCGCGAGGTTTAAAATGACGATCAGAAACATTTCTTTTACTTATATGGGACATTTATGCTCGTGTATAAGTGTGACTGTACTAGTCCGAACCCATGACGGATACCATGCCGTAGTGTAACATGAATACCCCACTCAGACACAGTATACTGATTCCGAGCCGACCAGTCCTTGTTTTAGCCCCTTAATGCCGAGCGCCAGACAGGGTAACAACAAGTACCATCTTTTAACGTCTTTTGTATGACGCGGCCACCGACCTTCCGCTCTCCGGACAATCATATCAATGTCAACATATTTGATATGCTAGGACGTACCTAATGAGAATAAAGATAAATAGAATAGCAGGTACCGATTACACGTTGTTAATTCGAACCCCCCCCCCCCCCCCCCCCCCCCCAACTCTTGAGACGAAGCAATGTTATGACGCAGGCAGACTTCTATCTGTATAATAATCTAACATCGGCACTTCGCTTGTCTCGAACTACAGATAATTCGACATACAATTTGAACAGTCTCGAGGACAACTTGTGACGGGACAGTCGCGGCATGTGTATATTATACGTGCGCTTCATACAGTTTTACTCGCACCTTTGCATCCATTCGTTACCAGCTCGTGTTTTTCCGGGACTCGTGCACCTCTCATGGCCATTTTTGCGACCAGGTTCCGTCTTAGCGCAAACGGGCATACCTAAAACAATTGTCAACTTGATGCGTAGTGGTTCACATATATTCCTCCATATATTATAAAAAATTTAATATTTCAGGATGCTATTTAAAACACATCGGGACTTACGGTATCATACAGTATGACTGAACACATTTAACTGTGTCTTGGGTATATTTTTAGATGCAAGACATATGTAAAATCAAAAATTCTTTCTGAGGGTTAGTCGTATTTTCGTACATGGTTCTTGCAGGTTACGGAAAGGAGCGAGTGGTGACGAATACTTTGCATCATTGACTGTTAGTTTGCGTAAAGCAGCAATATTTAGGACCCCAAGCCAGAATTGCTCAGAATCCTATCATCATCATCATCATCATCATCATCATCATCATCATCATCATCAGGGATAACCCAATAACCAGTGGCCCGATCTGTAGAGTACCAAATACCACAAAAATTCCAAAACCATTCGTCCAGTGACCAATAATATTTAACAAAACATCTTAAAGACATGTTTTACCCTACAGAGCCACAACCGTTCATCTGCTGGTTTGGACGCTTATCATTTAATGTTCTTGGATACATTCATTTAATGTTCAAGACTTGCAGAATTCATTTGACTTGGTTCATGCACATGGGTACATGTTATCAAAATCCTCCTCTGAACCCACCAGTTGAAGGTGAGGTGAGGTGAAATGGGGTTTAACGTCCAAGATTATTGCACTTATATAGCGACGTCGCAGTTTAACATGAGTGCGAGACGACCAGTCCTGTCTTGTCCTCTTAATGCTGGGCAGGGTAACAACAAGTACAATCTTTTCAGGTCTTTTTACCCGTGAAGATCCGGGGTTAGAATAGATCTTCAGCAACCCATGCTTATCTATGAGGCGACTAACAGGATCCGGTCGTCAGGTTCGCTGACTTGGTTGATGCATGTCATCGTATCCCAATTGTGTGGATCGATGCTCATGATGTCAATCCCTGGATTGTTTGGTCCAGACTCGATTATTTACAGACGCCGTCATACAGCTGGAATATTGCTGAGTGTGGCGTTAAACAACAAATAAACAAACAAATTTACAATCTTTTGGTATGACGCGGCCGGGGCAAGTACCTGCCTGGCGCCGGAAACACGTAGAGAGTGTACCTTTAAGACCATGCGTGTGAACAGAGACACCACCGGCCCAGGTCAGAGTCTCAGTGTTGTGTGGACCCAGGGAGACGATGTTGTACCCCTTGCTGACCGTGTTGTTGACCCTGTTGGTAGGTGAGTGTGTGGTAAGACTCTGTTACCCACTCGGTCTGCATTCTTTAAGAAATCCAAAATTGTGTTAATGTATGATTTAAATGGAAACTAAATGTTTGGCCTAAAACGTACAATCATAATTTTGGTAATATACGCATGCTCGTAATTATTGTCACCCCTAAGACGCATATATCTAGGGAGTGACAGTAATTATTAGTTTGGGTATATATTCAGCTTTGGTATCGGACATAGATAATTTTCTTTAGAAGTTTGTACAAATCGATTTTCTTATCTTATCTTCGCCATTCTGCTGTGATCGACCATACCATGTGCCAAGGCAGAAGACCGTTCATGTGGCGTTGCCTGAGTGAGTGAGTGAGTGAGTATGGTTTTACGCCGCTTTTAGCAATATTCCAGCAATATCACGGCGGGACATCAGAAATGGGCTTCACACATTGTATCCATTTCGGGAATCGAACCCGGGTCTTCGGCGTGACGAGCGAACGCTTTACCCACTAGGCTACCCGACCGCCCCTAGTGTTGTCTTACTTACGCCTCGGAAGTCTGCTAATTAGTGCCGGGGTAGGTGGGGTAGGCTTGTGGTTAAAGCGTTCGGTCGTCACGCCAAGGACCCGGGTTCAATTCTCGACATATGTACAATGTGGGAAACCCTTTTTTGGGGCCAAGCTGCGATATTGCTGGAATATTGCTAAAAGCGACGTAAAACCACAATTACTCACTCACTCACTTAATTAATGTCAATTATTAGTGAAATTCTTGTCGTCTTGGGTTTTACAGTTTGGGGATTTTACTGACACTACATACTCCTAGTTTGTTGGGTCCCTGTGTAAATATAATTAATGCCCCAACTCTGATATTGAGCTCTGCCCTCATTCCACGAGCCATGGACTACCTAGTGGGTGACGTCATGTATCTAAAAGAGGTTTTAGTTTCAGCAATAAAATGTATTTCCGGGAATGCTGGAAATAACTAATTTCTAACCAGGCTTCAACTTTTGCTTGAAATGCTCCATCTCAGAATCGCGAACTATATAAATGTTCTGTCTCAAACAAACTCTACCCCTAAGTGATATTTACGCTAACACGCCCATCTCCCCTTTATCAACGTTCTTTCTGTTGTAGCCGACGTTGCCGATGGTGTTAACTGCACGACGTTAACCGACGGCGTGTACGAGAAGAGTTGTCGTTCCTTCACCGTTTGTCATGGCGGGAAAGCGGAAGTGAAATTCTGTGACAATGGACTGGTCTTCAACGCAAAGACTGCCAGCTGCGACAGGTACCATTCGTCACCACTCGCCCCTTTCCGTAACATACAAGAAGACTCGTCCCCCTATCGATGAATCGTATGTGGGAAATACGACAAACCAATCAGAATGCGCTCATGACTTCAAGTTCTTCGGTCAAAGAATCCCTCAGGAATAATTTTGGAATTTACATATGTCTTGCATCTAAAAATATTCCCAACATACAGTTAAATGTGTTCAAACATGCTGTATAATACCGCAAGTCCCGATGTGTTTTAAATAGCATCTGAAAATATTCATGATGGGGAAAATATGTGTGAATCATTACGCAACGAGTTGACACTACTTTTAAATATGCCCGTTTGCGCTAAGACGGAACCCAGTTGCAAAAAATGGCCACGAAAGTCGCTTTTCGGCTTGTCCCGTAATAACACCAGTTGGTCATTAAAGCAACAGGTACGTTACTACAGTAACGCTGTGCATGGGATGCAATGGCGACGCACAATAGTCCAACCGAGGCGTGGGGAAGTTATAGTTTTGTGTTGGTTTTCCCTTTCTAAAGTTACGTTACTGTAACGTATATATGAACGAGCATCTATAGACAACTAAACATATTTTTCGTATTAATATTTTCTCAGACTTCTATCTTGACAGATAACGTGGGGCTTTAGGGTAAGAATAAGTCCCCAGCAACCCATGCTCACGAGCGACTAAATAGATCGGGGTGGCCAGACTCTGTGACCTGCATTGCTTGACTCGATGTTGATGATGGCAATCACTTGATTGTCTAGTCCAGATTAGATTACCACAAACCGCCTTAATATAGGTGAGGTGAGGTGAAATGGGGTTTAACGTCGCGTCCAAGATTATTGCACTTATATAGCGACGTGCAGGTACGTGTGTGTGTTTGTGTGGCTGCTCGTACTAGTCCGGACTGATGCCGATTTATAGTGCTAGGTCACTGTGATACCATGCCGTAGTTTAACATGAATACCCAACTCAGACACAGTTTACTGACTCCGAGCCGACCAGTCCTTGTTTTAGCCCCTAATGCCGAGCGCCAGACAGGGTAACAACAAGTACCATCTTTTAACGTCAATTGGTATGACGCGGCCGGGGCGGACGCTCTACCACAAGACCACGGAGACGGTTGCCTTAATATAGCAAAACAACAACAAAACAACTACAAAACAACAACAAACATGTTTCTTGACAGTTCAGGGGGCACGAGTGGCCCAGTCGTCTGAGGCGCCGCGATTCGCTGTGCAGAGTTGCGTCCCTTGGGCACGCCAGAAACCTATGATTGTGGGTTCGAATCCCGATTCGCCCCGATTATGTTTCTAGGTTTGTCAGCACCATTACCGTGCTCGTAGGTTTCACCGAAGTGGTAAACGTCTGAGACCTACATCACTTCGGGCTTTCTTCCCACATTAAGCTGACACGCCGTGATATAACTAGAATACTGTTAAAAGCGGCGTTTAACCCAACTCACTCACCCACTTGACTGTTCAGATATTATTTTCTCTCCTTCCAGCCCAAGTGCTGTAGAGCCCCCTTGTGGTAGATCACGTGACTGCACCGGCAAGGACGACGGTGTTTACGTGGACGACGGGTGTCGTTCCTACTACACATGCATGGGGGAAGTCTTCTTCGGTCACGACTTATGTCCCGAAAGTAAGCCCGGAGAGTATGATACATTTTCCAACTGTGAAAATATTGATTAACTAGACCTTTGGACACTTGCATTTTACACTTTTATACTCAGTTAACGCCCTTGCTTCGGGAAGATGACTTGCATTCTGCCCCCCTAGATTCCAGCAGCCCATGCTTGTCGTAAGAGGCGACTAACGGGATCGGGTGGTCAGACCAGCTGACTTGGTTGATGCACGTCATCGCACACCAATTGCGTGGATCGATGCTCTGGATGTCAATTACTGGGTTGTCTTGTCCAGACTCGATTAATTACAGACCATCGTCTGGAATATTGCTGAGTGCGGCGTAAATCAAATAAACAAACAAACAAATTTGCCTCATGGTTCCCGTTAATGCTGACACACAATGGCGATCAGGCGTTATCTGTTTAACCAGGGACCAACAAACCTTTAACCCCAAACTGTACTCCACTATTTAACATAGACTTACGATAATCGTAGAGATGACATAATTTTTAAAAAACTCCCCTGATTAATGTGTTTATTCCCACACTGACGAGGTAGATATCCTTATCAGACCCCCGTCTGCTTAGGTGTCGCCATTAAACCAGTGCTTTGAGATAGTGATTTTTAAATTGTCTCCATATTACTCAAAGATGTTAAGGATCTCCGTTTCCTTTATATCACTACAGTTAATCTGGCATGCCATGACCGATTAACTATTGTAAGTGCTTACTATTGTCGTGCAATGACATTTTAATTATAGCAATAGGGGGCATGGCGTCTAAGGCGCCGCGATTCGCTGTGCAGAGTTGCGTCCCTTGGGCACGCCAGAAACCTATGCTTGTGGGTTCGAGTCCTGGTTCGCCCCGATTATGTTTCTAGGTTTGTCAGCACCATACCCGTGCTCGTGGGTTTCACCGAAGTGGTAAACGTCTGAGACCTGCATCACTTCGGGCTTTCCTCCCACATTAAGCTGACACGCCGCGATATAACTAGAATACTGTTAAAAGCGGCGTTAAACCCAACTCACTCACTCACTAAATATAGTAATATGAAAGAATCGGTTGGTCCTTAACTTCTGTTGAGTAGTATAGGTCGGTTGGTTGGTTCAAGTTTAATTGAGTCTGGAAATAAACAGATGATGTGTGGTTCAGCAGTAACTTTGGACTGTGGGACGTTGGGAAACCAAAATTTATTTTATGAAAAACAACATGTTTTTTTGTGTGGAACTGCGGCGTATTAATTGACAGATAAATGAATTTGAATTTTACTACATAAACTCCATACGTCCGACCCAGTCAATCCACAGATCTTCCTTTCTGACGTTTACTGTACTATTTTACAGATAGATATAGTTTCATATTTACGATTTATTAATATGTACATGTGTTAATCCGTCGATTTACATGGGAACAGTACATCCGGATTAACAGGGTTTCAGTGTATAAGGTGTGTGTGTCAGTTATTTCTTTATAGATATTGAGGGGCGGTCGGGTAGCCTGGTGGTTAAAGCGTTCGCTCGTCACGCCGAAGACCCGGGTTCGATTCCCGAAATGGGTACAATGTGTGAAGCCCATTTCTGGTGTCCCCCGCCGTGATATTGCTGGAATATTGCTAAAAGCGGCGTAAAACCATATTCACTCACTCACTTATAGATATTGAAGTAAACGAATGACTTTCTCCAAAATAGTCGGCACGAATACAACATCAAGGTTGTCTGATATATACAGGCTTAATGCTGGATTATTAGTCAAAGCGGAACCCGTGAAGATCCGGGGTAGAAGGTCCTCAGCTACCCATGCTAGCCGTAACAGGCGGCAATGCTTGTCGTAAGAGGCGACTAACGGGTTCAGGTGGTCAGGCTCGCTGACATGGTTGATGCATGTCATAATATCCCAATGGCGTGGATCGATGCTCATGACGTCAATCACTGGATTGTCTGGTCCAGGCTTGATTATTTACAGACGTAATTTTGCGGGAACATTGCCAAGTGCGGCGTTGAACAACAAACAAACTAAAAGCGGCGTTAAACCTCACCCACTCACTCACTCCGCATTCAGGAGCCAGACACATAGTGCCCGATTCCTTGTGAGCGCCTACATTCCAGTCATATACAACTCCAGTTTTGAAAGATAGTTGTTGTTTTTTATCTTTCCACGATACGCAAAACTGATTCTCATATTTCAAGTGCATATGAAAATAGAATAACATATCGGATTATTCCTATCAAAAGTTGAGGGGTATAATTCACTGGTTATCTCTGATCTAATTTTGTCATGCTATATCCAGGTCTCGTCTTCAACCAGGAACTTAAGACCTGCGACTGGCCGAATCACGTGGCGCCACCTTGCGGTACGAAACACTGATGACATTCAGAGTTACCTCGGATTTTGGAACTAGGACGAAGAATTTCGAAGTCCCCGACTTTTCGGTACCACTGCACAACCCTATTGTGTGTACATGTTCAGAGACACGGCAGTATTACGATAGCGTAGTGACGTAAGATAAGAGTACCGGCCTTCCTTACAAGAATAGTTTGACATGCCTTATCTGCCACCGAGGTCATCGAGATCTTGTATTGTAGATACTTATCATGCAATGGCGAGGCGATCATTGTTATAATTAGCCGATTTGAATAAATATGTTGATTATAATATACTTAATATCTTTGTGAATAAACTGCTTTCCAACAACTGTTTGTCTACTTTCTGTCATCGGAAGGGGCACGGGTGGCCCAGTTGTCCAAGGCGCCGCAATTGGCTGTGCAGAGTTGCGTCCCTTGGGCACGCCAGAAACCTTGTGAGTTCGAATCCCGGTTCGCCCCGATTTTGTTTCTTTGTTTGCCATCACCATACTCGTGCTCGTTGGTTTCACCGAAGTGGTAAACGTCTAAGACCTGCATCACTTCGGGCTTTCCTCCCATATTAAGTTGACACGCCGCGATATAACTGGAATACTATTAAAAGCGGCGTTAAACACAACTCACTCACTCACTAACTATAGAACAACATATGGCTAAAGGCTTATCTTCTAATTAAAATTATATTGGATGCTGGACAGAGAATCATTGTGTACATGCATACATGTAGTTTATATATTTCAATAACTTTAAATGACGAGAAGTACTGGACACCAATTCAACATATTCGTTTTAAATGTAACGACTAATAGTTTTGAAAAGAGCTAGAATAAAATATAAGAATTGTGTTTTGCTTTCCTTAGCAATATTCCAGCTATGTGACGGCGGTCTGTAATTAATTGAGTCTATATCAGACAATCTTGTGATTGACATCATAGGCATCCACGCACGAAATGACCCAGCCTGAACACCCGACCCATTTAGTCACCTCTTACGACAAGCATAGGTTGCTGGGAACCGATAGATTTACCATAAGTAACCATACATTCAAAGTCGCCAAACGCGCTGGATCTGCCAACTGCCCCAACCCTTGTCCCCTTCAAAACGGATATAACGAGCCCACACGATTGGCGGTAACAGCAGCCTCGTTTTGAATTACTTACTGATGTCACATGGCCGTTCATATGTCGTCAGGCGTGTTCTATTTTTGGGATAGATGTGACAATGGCGCTTGGAGTTATCGTGGCGCATGGGGCATGCGATTCTTCACCTAATCAACGTCCGGAGTCAGACTGACCTTCGATAACAAGGAGCATGGGGCGGTGTGAACGGAATGCAAGTCTAGGTAACAGATAAGTGTCTGTGTCCTTCCCATCATTCCGCCATTCCCCTTCGTCTGGTTCACCATGATCTGTCTGGTGCTTCTCGCCCTCCTCCCGGCAGGTGAGTGAGTGAGTGAGTGAGTGGGGATGGAACGTCAACTGTAACGTCATTACGTTGTGTTACGTCAGTCTTTATAATGTTGAAATTGGGTGAAATGGGGGTTTGACGTCACTTTCTAAATTGTTTCAGTTATATAGCAACGTGCACGTGCCTGTGTGTTGGATGGTTGGTTGGTAGGTTGTTTAACACCGCACTCAGCAATATTCCAGCTTCATGTCAGCGGTCTGTAAATAATCGAGTCTGGCCCAGACAATCCACTGATTAATAGCATGAGCATCAGCGAGCCTGACCACCCGATCCCGTTAGTCGCCTCTTACGACAAGCATTGTCACCTTTTACGACAAGCAGGGGTTTCTGAAGGCCTATTCTAACCCGAATCTTCACGGTTCGCCTGTGTGTGGCTGCTTGTATTAGTCCAGACTAATGCTGGTTTTAAAGCGCCAGCCCACTCAGATTCCAGGCCGCAGGTTAACATGGATACCCAGTCAGATAAAGTATACTGACCAGTCCTTGTTTTATCCCTTTAAATCCGAGATCCAAGCCATTTTGCAACGCCTAACTGAGCAGGTCAGTGAGTGAGTGAGTATGGTTTTACGCCGCTTTCAGCAATATTCCATCAATATCACGGCGGGGGATACCGGGAAATGGGCTTCACACATTTGACCCAAGTTTGGAATCGAACCCGGGTCCTCGGCGTGACGAGCCAACGTTTTAACCACTAGGCTACCCCACCACCCCCGGCACAAATAAGTAAACAATGTGAAGCTAAATTGTTATGTGCAGACATTGTTGCATTTAAGTCATGGGGTGAAAACAGGTGTTCCTTGTCAGCTCTTTTCAACAAACAGTTTTATTCAGTTTAAAGATCTTTGGCCCCAACTACATTCATATGCAGAATAAAACATACTTTAAGATGAATATGTACACGGGTGTTTTGGAATATATAATAAATCTTGAGAGTGAATATTTTCTTCTCAATAAAAAAAGCCCCCGTTACACTATCAAAAACTTTGATCCAAAACTTGGTCCAAGATGGACGGTTTCCTCTAATCAAAGTTTTTGATAGGCTGTCAAAGTTTTGGTGGGAATTATCTTGCCAAGGGGGATGCTACTGACGAAGAATTGTTTGCTGTTGTTATGTGTATTTTGTGTATTGCCATGTTGAGAAGGCGGCGTCGGGGTAGGTAAAGTCATTTTTGGTCCCGAGAATGGCTGCTCGTTGTTGAAAACAAATCAATTAATTCTTCCAACATCTCGTCAGTCCAAAATAGTTGACTCATTTTGACTTGACTCTTGCACTCTTGCACTTCCGGCTGAAAAGGGGGTAAATGTTCCTTGCAGTCTGATTGGCTAAATTTAATCAACGTCATCAAACTTTGATCAAAGTTTGACGAGAAATAGTATCGGTTTCTATTCCATCAAAGTCCCGTCAAAAACTTTGTCACAGTTTTTGACGGTATGTAACACTATCAAAACCTTGGTCAAAATGGACTTTCACTAAGTTTTTTATCAAAGTTTTTGAAAGTGTAACGTGGGCTTAAGGATTGTGCAGGGACCAATTTGTCAAAAGCGCTGACGTTTACTGAGTAACCATGGCAGAATTAGCTTCGGTTGAAGTTCGGGAGATTGAAACGACTAAAGGAAGACATCGAGCGATACCCAAAGGCTTGACGACTTATAGTAGCATGTGACCCAAATACGTTCCAGTTGTTCTGTATACAACATCAGTGTAATAACTGTCAGACTAGACCGATGTTTCGAAAACTCAGACAAGCATGATAACGAAATTTCGTTGTGGAAAAACAGCGTTTGGAATGATCGCTTGATGTCAACCTTTAAATGAGTAACGTCATTTTTTCGGTGCACCCCTGAATAATCTGCCCTGACAGATGCCCATCTCATTATTTGTGAGCCCCACAGTAAACTAGGACATGCATTCACTTATTATATGTCACGATTATCACACTGATCGGATATCAGAATACATACTTATGACACCCGTGAAGATCCGGGTTAGAATTGATCTTCAGCAGCCCATGCTTGTCGTAAGAGGGGATCGGGTGGTCAGGCTTGCTGAATTGGTTGGGGCATGTCATCGAATCAATCACTGGACTCGATTATTTATAGAACCCCATTATATAGCTGGAATACTGCTGAGTGCGGCGTTAAACATCAAACAAACAAGGTGAGGTGAGGTGAAATGGGGTTTAACGTCGCGTCCAAGATTATTGCACTTATGTAGCGACGTGCATGCACGTGTGTGTGTGTGTGTGTGTGTGTGTGTGTGTGTGTGTGTGTGGCTGCTTGTACTAGTCCGGATTGATGCCGATTTATAGTGCTAGCCCACTAAGATACCATGCCGCAGTTTAACATTAAAACCCCACTCAGACACAGTATACTGACTCCGAGTCGACCAGTCCTTGTTTGAACCCCTTAATGCCGAACGCCAGACAGGGTAACAACAAGTACCATCAATAAACGTCTTTCAGTATGACGCGGCCGGGGATCGAACCCAGGACCTTCCGCTCTCCGGGCGGACGCTCTACCATTAGGCCACGGAGGCGGTCAACAAACAAACAAACAAACAAACATACTTATGAATCACGGTTTATCCCCATCGTGAATGGTACTTGAGGAATAGGTGAACAAATTCAGTCTCATTAAGTTTTCCGTGATCTTTAATGCACACTTTGTTGCAGCTTTTGCGATAGACTGCACCACTAGTGGTAATGGGGTGTTTGAGAAGGGATGTCGTGCCTTTGTCACTTGTGTCGGCGGAGTTGCCACGGTAACAGAATGTCAAGGCAACGAAGTCTTCGACGACATAACAAAGACATGCGCTGAGTAAAGTATAATTTTCACTAATGACATTTTTAATTTGGATTTTTTATCAGATCTATATCACCCTCGCTTATCCGATCTCTTGATCCGATGCAAGTCCCTATTTTGACTTGTACGATATGTTCCAGTGTTTTTTCAGGTGAACATTTGATTTGCCTTTGCATGTGTTTGTGACGGGTGCCGCCGGTGGGGCCGGATACGCTCATCTTTTCGCGAACATCTGGTATCATCACTATCTCATAGTGATTGATTAACACATGTTTATGATATAGTGGGAATCGTACTATCGACTCTGCTTAATGCAGAGATTTCTATTGGATATGGAAAGGGTTTTGTCGCTATATTTATTTAACCTAAAAACGAACTGTATTCTTTGGGCACTTTGTAATATAGACTTCTGTTAAGGATGATCCGACCTTTTGCAAGATAATTGACACTTGTAGAGCAGTGCCTGTTATGACTTTACAGGCTTACTCGGAAAGGAAAGCCCTGTAGCTGTAGCTGTAGATGGAATCTCCTGGACTTGTACTCCGCCTGTTCTTCCGCCGAGTCCGTTTTTCTTGGTCTCCGCTGAGGTCCTGCCTCCATCGTCTGTGGTCGGCGAGTTCCTCCCACCTTTCAGCATCTAGTGCCCGCTGGCAGACGTCTTTTTAAGCGTAGGTGGAGACGCCCAGGTGCCTTTTTGCCGAGGTGAGCTCGTCGTACAGGAGGCCCTTCGGGATCATCGCGTCCTTCATACGACGGAAGTGGCCGAGCCAGCGAAGTCGGCGCTGTTGGAGCTGTGGGAGAAGATACTGGTGATCGTGGTGCAGGAGAAAACTTCAGTGTTTGTGACTCATTCCAGCTGATTCCGAGGATGCGCCTTATGTTACCACTATTGAAGGCGTTCAGTCTCTTTTCTTGTCTGCTGAGAGCAAGCTTGGAGTGGGTTGTCATCTTGCTGTTCTACCATTCTCTTCATCAGTCTGGCGAGGGAAATCTGACGCTCAGCCGATCCGCCTGTTGATCTCCGGACAGGTTTCCAAGGGCAGAGTTTTTGTGATGGTAAGGCTGAGGTAGATGAACTGTTTCACCAGCTCCAGCTCGTAGACGTTTGTCTTCTTCAAGCTGATGGTCAAGCTGACGTCCTGACCTGCCCCTGATAATCGGTCCATGACGTTTTGCAGCTGTGTCTCTGAGTGGGTTGCCAGAGCCACGTGTCTGCAAGATGCATGTCTCTGATGAGGGCTTCTCCCACTTTGTGTATTGCCCTTAAGGCTGCCTGGGGCACCGCTCCTTCTTCCAAACACTGACATGGAAGTTCATACAGGTGCCTTAGCAGGACCACCTGTCCGCAGTTGATGGCCCCTTGAGGGGTTCAATCCGCTCCAGGCACTTTCCTGCCAGACAGCCTCTTGATGGCCTTGCCTCAGCTTCTTGTCCAGCTCATCGACCACCGAAAGGCGATCAGTGACTTCCAGCACATATAACGCTATTTTCCCTGTAGTAGAGCTCAGATTAGTGCTCAACCTATCTCCCCATCTGCTTGCATCTGTCACTGATCGATTCACCCGTTGCAGATTTCAGGGGCAGATTTTTAGGCTTTGAATACACTGATGGCTTTCTTGATGCCCAAGTATGCCCCAAGGATAAGCTGATGATTTAATGGCCTCGCAGAGCTGCAGCCAGTAGAAGTTCGTGCATGTTATTGCTGTTACCTGAATTTGGTTCTGGTTGTTCTTAGAGCTTGCAGGGTTGGGGTAGCATTTGTGTGCTGTCAGATCTGTGCATCCTTCTCAGTGACAGGGATCAGTGGGCTTCGAGTTTTCCTTGTTTCTTATAAAGGGCTGCGTGTGCAGTGGCGACGAATGTCTCTCAATTGTTCGCAACATTGCTCCCTTTTGACGTTCTGGAAGCAGAACATGATCTAGGGCACCAATAAAGGAGTCCATTCTCTGCAGGTGTGATGTCTTGCTGACGTTGACACGACTCTGTCCATCTGGCCTGGAGTGTGCATGAGTCTGATCATGCATCAGACCAAAGAATGGACTGTGTCTCAGTCAGCACTGTGGTACGAACGTGTCATGATCACGTTACTGAGGTTACATCGTCTTGTGATCATCAGGTCTAGATGGTGCTTGGACAGGGGTGACTCAAGGACACCTTATGCTGAGGCTTGTCTGGAAGAAGGAATTGATGCTGCACAGGTAGAGGTGTATGCACAGCTCATCAAATTCTGTATTGTCCCAGACCAGCAGGGTCAGCACAACTCTTGAACTGAAGAAGCCAAGCAAGAGCAGCATTTCTGTGATACCTTTGATGGCGGTCTGGAGCTGGTTGCAGAACTCGTCCTTCACCTCCTGTGTGGAGCAGAGGACAGGAGCGTACATTCTGATAGACCGATCCGTCAGGCTCCATCATTCTGAGCAGTCAGTTCCGCGCAGCGAGGTGAACATTCCATCATCCCAACTTCAGAACTGACTTCTGAAGTTTCTTTCTTCTTTTCTTTGTTGTCTTATCTGGTGCAAGGTTTACAGTCAGTGGGCCAGGCTGATCAGAGCCCTGAGCCCCACGCATCCAGTACAACAGGCAGACTGTTGTGGGACTGAGGCAGGCGGTCCAGTGAGATACAATTATCCTTCCCACTGTTGCAACGAGCCCATGGCTCCATGTTCTGAGCCAGTCAAGCCAATTGGGCTGCTGCTAGCCATGTTGTGCTGTCGCAGTGGGGCGACGCTGGAGGTTTCTCTTCAGGGAGCAGGCCTAGGTAGCTTGATGTGAGGGACCAGCTGTTGAGCACACCCCCACCTGGGTAGCTTGATGTGAGGGACCAGCTGTTGAGCACACCCCCACCTGGGAAGCTTGATGTGAGGGACCAGCTGTTGAGCACACCCCCACCTGGGTAGCTTGATGTAAGGGACCAGCTGTTGACCACACCCCCACCTGAGTAGCTTGATGTGAGGGACCAGCTTTTGACCACACCTCCACCTGGGTAGCTTGATGTGAGGGACCAGCTGTTGACCACACCCCCACCTGGGTAGCTTGATGTGAGGGACCAGCTGTTGACCACACCCCCACCTGGGTAGCTTGATGTGAGGGACCAGCTGTTGACCACAACCCCACCTGGGTAGCTTGATGTGAGGGACCAGCTGTTGACCACACCCCCACCTGGGTAGCTTGATGTGAGGGACCAGCTGTTGACCACAACCCCACCTGGGTAGCTTGATGTGAGGGACCAGCTGTTGACCACACCCCCACCTGGGTAGCTTGATGTGAGGGACCAGCTGTTGACCACACCCCCACCTGGGTAGCTTGATGTGAGGGACCAGCTGTTGACCACACCCCAACCTCTCAATGTAAAAGAGAACGCCAATACTGCTTGGTATGAGAGGCATCGCAAGTGTTAAATTAAATGCAATGCCAGACCTCCTCGGGGACTCTGACTCAAGACTTCTGTGGGGTTTCTTCATAGTCTTGTTCATGTCACAGTTTAACAGTTGCAGCAGTTGTGATGTAAAATGTCACTTTTCGATCTTATATACACCCCGCCAAAACCCCTGAAAATCAAATGGTTGATCCCTAAGCTTCTTTTAAGCTATATTTTTAGAAAGCTGTACTATTTTGTGTCCATTAGGCTTGTAGCAAGTGCTTGAGGGAGAGTTTCTTCCATACCGTTGAGAAATCAATTTTTAAGTTAGTTTTGTCGGCAAATAATTAAAGGTATTGCATATTATTTCTTTGTTTTCCTGAATCCTAAAGGAAATTTGGTGTGGCCTTAAATACAAATCGATTTCTGTTTCCAGTCCCAACACGCTGAGTAACCTCTGCTCACAGAGCAAGGACTGCTCTACACGAGCAGACGCGAAGTATGCGGATCAAAACACCCACTGTAGTACCTACTTCACCTGCCACGGAGGAACCTACTTTGGCCACAACTACTGCCCCGGAGGTGAGTGACTTGGTGGATGTTGTGGGTACGAGGATGTTGGGTGAGCTGGGCTGGGCTGGGCTGGGCTGGGCTGGGCTGGGCTGGGCTGGGGCAAATTATATGCTGTAAGCTGAGATCTGGGAAGGATTAGAAAGCGATGATGATAACGTTTTGGATAAGGGAGAAAGTGGTCAGTCGATTTGGATTTGGGAATTGGTACTGAATTAAGGGGTGGGGGTGGGTGGGGCGGGCTGCAGCTACAAATATAGATGGGGTGAGAGGGAAAATAAGGAGTAGGGTGAAGTTGAGTGAAAAGTGAGTTCTGTGAAACCCACGAGCACGGGGAGGGGTGGGGGGGGTGGGGGGGGGGGGGGGGGGGGGGGGGGGTTCGAACCCACAATCATAGGTTTCTGGCGTGCCCAAGAGACGCAACTCTGCACAGCGAAATTTAAGGGGTAGGGTGAAGGTCAGGATACGGGTGTAATAAGGTGAATTTAAGGATGGGATGTGTTTAAATAAATGATGAAAGTATGCAATAATAGTCACATGTTACGAACAAAGAATGAATGTTACAAATAAAGTTTTTTGGGGTTTGGTTTGTTGTTTAACGCCGCACTCAGCAATATTCTAGCTTTTTGACGGCGGTCTGTAAATAATCGAATGTGGACCAGACAATCCAGTGATTAATATCATGAACATCGATTCACGCAATTGGGATCGATGACATGCATCAACCAATACAAATAAAGGTCATTATTTACATACAAATATTGAGTGAGTGAGTGAGTATGGTTTTACGCCGCTTTTAGCAATATTCCAGCAATATCACGGCGGGGGACACCAGAAATGGGCTTCACACATTGTACCCATGTCGGGAATCGAACCCGGGTCTTCGGCGTGAGGAGCGAACGCTTTAACCACTAGGCTACCCGACCGCCCTACAAATATTGAACTCAAACTACAATACGATACCAATGAACAACTCGCAAACAAAGACGTCATGTGTAAAGAAAGAACAATGTGTGCCAAAGAACATCAGTGCACAAAAAGGACACAAAACTGACAGAGAACAACGCTGACACTAAAGAACGGCAGATGGCGCTGCAATTTATAAAACATTCCGAGTTTAATCGGCTTGTTCCGCCGTGTACATGGTGCATGCTCAAGTGCTTACTGTATTACGTCATTCCTCGTGCAATCATTATTTGTATGTAAACAATGACCTTATTTGTAACATTCACTCTTTATTCGTAACATTTGACTATTAATGCGCATATTGTCCTTTATTTCAACTTTTTATTTTTGACCGGTTGGCCCCCCCATAACTTCACGTCTTGTACCCAGTAAAGTTAAGTATAAGGAAAGGATTGAGACGACCCGTGGGTACCTGCAGGCGACGTGAGTTGTCAACACTAGCATCGGCGACACAACCCAGCTGTTCTTTAAAACATTCTTAGGGTGATACACGTGTATTATTATCATTGACAGAAAATCCGCAGTTGCTTTGTAAAATGACGAACTAATGATAACTAGCGGTAACCTCCCCTGTTTTTGTGCAGGTACTATCTTCAATGAGGTGCTGCAGTCCTGTGATTGGCCAAACGACGTCCCGCCCCCATGTGGAACCAAAGGGATCGCTACAGTAGCTTCCGGTTAAGACTGACTAGGAGAGTCCGAGCCATGTGTGCGATTATGTCAATAAAGCGTTAGACATTAGCCTCTTCTCAAGTTGGTCACCAGGTGTGCAGCCAAATGGTTGTCTTTGGTCCCCTGACCTACTCACTCCGAAACAAGATTACAGTCGGCCAAACTCGTATGAGTTGTAGAAGCAGTGTGATTGTGTCTGCGAATGTGTTGTGGTGTGTGTGTGTGTGTTTGCCGTGTGCGGCGTAAAACAACAAACCAAACCAATCATACATAAAATTCTATTTAGAAACGAGAGAAAATCGATACACTGCTGGCACCAACTGTTAACATCATTGCGAACGTCAAGACATTATCGGCTGGGCTAGTTTCTGTGTTTGTTGTTTAACGCCCCACTCATCAATATTGGAGCTATATGCCAGCGTTCTGTAAATAATCGAGTCTGGACCAGACTAACCAGTGATTGGCATCATGAGCATCGATCCACGCAATTGGAATACGATGACATGCATCAACCAAGTCAGCGAGCCTGGCCACCCGATCCTGTTAGTCACAAGCATGGTCGCCTGTTGTGGCAAGCATTGGTTTACTAACATTGTTCATATGTTAACACTGCTGTCACCATCAGCAATAATTCAGTTGATGTCCATCATCATCAGCATCATCAATATCAGCAAAACAACGAAGCAGTCATTGCATACATAGTTTCACTGACAGCTAGTAGCGCCATCTAGGGATAGACGGGCAGACTGCACCCCGAACCTTCATGCCAGGACTGACAAAATGTAGGATAAGGTGATCCCAGTATGACCAGGATGATTGCACATCTTCCTATCTATCCTGCAGAATGATGTAATCAAATCTTATTCCGTTTTAATATGAAACCATTTCGAATATCATTCCATGTTTTGTATTTGATTCCCAATTTCTGTATTCACCAGTAATGGCTGCTGTGGAATTGAGTGGAATATAATGGACATCTAAAATGTAAGTTTACTTCATCCGGGGTAGAAAAGGTCTTAAAGGGGCACTGATCTAACGCAATTCCCCGGGGCTGGTTGTTGCCTTTGTTATTGTTTTTTCCCAGTGAGTGCCCGGATGTATAGCAGAAATCTATACTAGTTCGCGACCTCTGCTGCGCCATTCGTAAGCGCATTAGTCGCTTTTATGGGTAGTAATAAGGGCGTATGGTCACATTGATCAACAAAATTAAATACAGTTTTCGAGATAATAAGGAAATGTAGGTATCTTTGTGGGTAGCATCGGTAATGGTGACGAAGTTTTGATAAGTCACTTGCTTGGTAATTTTGCGATTTTCGTTTACACTATTTTGACTTGCAACACAAAGTAAATATTTCACCTGAGCATTGCTTTTATTTTAAAATGTGTGTATTTTTTTTTACTGTCAAATGTGTAACAAATTTATTAAACGTCTAAATATTCAGTTATTTTACAAAGCGACTGAAAACATTTCCATCTGTATTATTATGATAACGAATTCCAAACATTTTGATGTTTAACGTCATCACCAAGAGACTGAAAATGTTACGTTGAGAAAAGTACATTTCTATGTTGTTTGGCTTCTAATTCTACATAATAATCTGTTGTGATGTTTGTAGGCCCTTTTGATCGTCTTAATCAATCTGGACAGATTTTTTAGTCAAAATGACTGAAATATTTACACATTTTATAAATTGCCTGAGAGAATCACATTTTACAAATTGACGGTAATATATACACGCTTACAAAGGAAAAGACCTGTGAAAACAACGTCTATCGCGCATTGAAGAATTTCCCAACCAAAACGTAGAGAAACAAGAACGAATCGGTTCAAATGAAGGAAAACAAAATGCAAATATCATAATTACAACCTACCAAATTTATGTGTATAAACTTTAGGCAGCTTCCTTGTTCGAGGAATGCATCCGTGAATATCCACACAAAGGAACAATATCCCACTCGTCTGCAGATGTACAAAGAAACTTATTCGATGTCACGTGTCTCAGTAACAATCAAATATTTTAAAAGATATATATCGTTTCGGGATATTATAACCCGTGTTCGTTTCTCAACTGATCACTTGGATTGTTTCAGGTGTTTTACATAGGTGGTCGGCTGAGAAAGCCCACGTGACAACTATTTTCATAACGTTCACGGTTCCTAAAAAATCCATTGAGTGATAGATAACAATGATCAATCAATCAACGTATTATAAGTTAACCCTTTGAACAAAGTATGTTGTTTTTACATCGGCACTTCACGCCATGGTATGAGTGTATTCCCTTTGTTTTAGTAAACCTAGACATGTAAACACTCACTCTTGACATATCCACTGTGCAAGATAACAGTGATTAATCAATCAACGTATTTTCTGTTAATCCTTTGATGACTAGGAACGTTCCGTTGATTTACAAAAAAATAAATCAACTGATCATTCATCTCTTGCTGGGCTGTCACGTGCATATTACATAACACACATTTCACCTCACTTCAACCCTGGATTTAGATTGAATAATTACCCCAGACACAATAAATGCCAAATGGGAACCTTTGTCAGGTTATCTAAGTGGTGCTACCACTAATTGTACCTGTAATAAATTCATTAACTGAGCATCAAGTGAATGACGACAAATACACAAGTGTTTGGTTATACGAGAAAACGTGGATGACAACAAGGGAGTAGTAATCGTATTATCGACGCAAGCCGAAATCCGAAAATGCTTTCACTGCATGGATTCTTTTTTTAGTATAAAACTATAACCATCTGGGGTATTTCCAAATGACGACATCCGATGAGCTCCGCTGTTCTTTTGTCTGCTTGTTTAGGCTGAAGAAATTAATTAACATGCGCCCTTTGTCGAAATCTTTATAGATCACAGTTAACCAATCAGTGTTTATGCAAAAATGCTTAAAACAAATATTGCCTCCAGCCTCCAAGTTTATTTAGCTGTCCTTGCAGACGGTAGCCCAGTCTGTGGTCACGCTCAGTTGCGTTGCGTATCATCCGGGTACTCACGGGGAAAAAACAATAACAAAGGCAACAACCAGTCCGGGGAATTGCGTTAGATCAGTGCCCCTTTAAGCAACCAATGCTTGTAAACGGCGACTATGCTTGTCGTAAGAGGCGACTAACGGGATCATGATGTCAATATGTGGATTGTCTGGGTCAGACTTGATTATTTACAGACCGCCGTCATATAGCTGAACATGTCTGGGTGCGGGGTTAAACAACTTAAAACAAACAAACAAAATAATAGCGGTGTTTAACCTCACCCACTCACTCACTCCGCATGCAGGAGCCTGACACACCAGTGCCCGATTCCTTGTTAGCGCCTACATTCCAGTCATATACGACTCCAGTTTTGAAAGATAGGTTTTTTTTATCTTTCATTGAAAACTGATTCTCATATTTTCATATGATTAGTGCATATTACGATAGAATAACATATCGGATTATCCCTATCAAAAGTTGAGGGGTATAATTCACTGGTTATCTCTGATCTGATTTTGTCATGCTGTATCCAGGTCTTATCTTACTTACTTACTTTGGAGATTTAACGTGCGCTTTCCGACTGATGCGTATTTCGCACACGGAAAGGTCTTATCTTCAACCAGGAACCAGGAACTTAAGACCTGCGACTGGCCGAATCACGTGGCGCCACCTTGCGGTACGAAACACTGATGACACTCAGAGTTACCTCGTATTTTGGAACTAGGACGAAGACTTTCGAAGTCCCCGACTTTTCGGCACCACTGCGCAGCCCTATTGTGTGTACATGTTCAGAGACACGGCAGTATTACGATAGCGTAGTGACGTAAGATAAGAGTGCAGACATACAGACAAGAATAGTTTGACATGCCTTATCTGCAACCGATGTCATCGAGATCTTGTATTGTAGATACTTATCATGCAATGGCGAGGCGATCATTGTTATAATTAGCCGATTTGAATAAATATGTTGCTTATAATATACTTAATATCTTAGTGAATAAACTGCTTTCCAACAACTGTTTGTCGTCGGAGGGGGCACGGTCGGCCCAGTCGTCCAAGTCGTCGCAATTGGCTGTGCAGAGTTTCGTCCTTCGCAGACTGACCTTCGATAACAAGGAGCATGGGGCGGTGTGGACGGAATGCAAGTCTAGGTAACAGATAAGTGTCTGTGTCCTTCCCACCATTCCGCCATTCTCCTTCGTCTGGTTCACCATGATCTGTCTGCTGCTCCTCGCCCTTCTCCCGGCAGGTGAGTGAGTGAGTGAATGAGTAGGGATGGACCGTCAACTGTAACGGCATTACGTTATGTTATGTCAGTCTTTATAATGTTGAGCCTTTTTAATGTTGAAGTTGGGTGAAATAGGGTTTTGACGTCGCTTTCAAAATTGTTGCTCTGATAGAGCAACGTACATGTGCCTGTGTGTGGCAGCTTGTATTAGTCCAGACTAATGCTGGTTTTATAGCGCCAGCCCACTCAGATACCAGGCCTGTTAACATGGATACCCAGTCAGATAAAGTATACTGACCAGTCCTTTTTTTATCATTTAAATCCGAGATCCAAGCCATTTTGCAACGCCTAAGTGAGCAGGCCAGTCAATGAGTGAATATAATTTTCAGCAATATTCCATCAATATCATGGCGGGGGACACCGGAAAATGGGCTTCACACATTTTACCCATGTTGGGAATCGAACCCGGGTCCTCGGCGTGACGAGCGAACGTTTTAACCACTAGTCTACCCCACCGCCCCCTGCATGAATAAGTAAACAATGTGAAGCTAAATTGTTATGTGAAGACATTATTTTATGAATAATTGTAAGCCTTTATTGCATGTTAGTCCTTTCGTGAATACACGTGTTATGTGAAGACAGTATTTTATGAATATTTTTAAGCCTTGGTAGCATTTACGTCCTTGGGTGAAAACAGGTGTTCCTTGTCAGCTCTTATCTGTATCTACCGTTAGGGAGGAAAAATTCAACAAACAGCTTTATTCAATTTAAAGATCTTTGGTTCTAACTACATTTATATACAAAATAAAACATACTTAAAGATGTATAGGTACACTTGAATATATAATAGTA